CTTGGCCTGCTGTGTTCATCCAGCTCTACACCTTGTTATCTTCAATAAATCATGTTAGATTTGCCCTGAACCATAGTGCAACGCAGCTGGTGATATTTCTAAGATTGAAGTCCAGAGTCAGATATTTGACTCAAAATTGCAGAGAAACAAACATACAAATAAAAGCAAGGCCTTGAAGTAGGTAATTAATTTTAAAACTCTATACTTATAGTGGGTAATGAAGATGATGTCATAGGTACAGAACTGGGAGAGGGGCCTTCTGATGCAACAGAAAGCCTGGCTACCATCTAAAAGGCACAAGTCAGGAATATGGTGAATTATTTCCCACTTGCCTGGGCAACTACTACTCCAAAAACACTCGAGAGGCCTGCTACTATCCAAGACAAATTAATCCATTCGATTGCTTTCACAGCAATGAGCATTTTATCCCTCCATCACCGATGCACAAAAGCAGCAGTGTGCACCATCTACAGGATGCATTGTATAATTCACCAACACTCTTTAGACAGGACCTTTTAGACCTACAACCATTACCATCTAAAAGGACATGGGCAGTAGGTGCATGGGAACACCACCGTCTGCAAGTTCCTCTCCAGACCATTTACCATCCTGATTTTGAAAAATATCATCATTCTTTCACTGCTGCTGGATCAAAATCCTGGAACTTTCTTGACCAGTATTATGCGTGCACCTACACTAAACAAACTTGAGCTGTTCAAAAAGGCAGACCACAAGCGCCTTCTGAATGGCAATTTGAATGAGCAATGAATGCTAGCCCAATAAGTGATGCCTCGATCCTCTCAATAAATCTTCTAAAAAGTAGTAACTTGATGGTATTTGTTACCTAGAAACAGATAGAAGGCAGTGTGTGTAGGAAGCGGGGTGTGTGAGAGGTTTGTGAGGTGTATGGGGGAGATGTGTGTGGGTGTGGGTTGTGTGTGGGTGAGTTGTGAGTGTGTCTATCTGCGCTTGCGTAAGCCCTTGTGTAAGTGAGGGGAATTTCAGGGATCCCACAATGTTGAGCGAGCGATGCCAGGATCAGAGTACACTGGAGCTTTTCAATGGGGTGATAATACAGGTCTGGGAGCACTGGGGTAGAAATCATGGAAACAAGGCACCAGATCTATACCATTACATCTATTTCCTGCATACCTGATTCACAACTTCAAAGTATATACCAAGAGTTGTATTGTGGTCCAGACCACAGATCTTCCACTGGCATGTCCCACCTGTTCCAATTTCCTGTAAATAAAGATAGCCAAAGACTGTTAGGTCAAATGATTGCTTTTTAAGCTATATATTCTATTAAGATTTTACAATTTGGCATGCCTAGTCCTTGTTACTGCAACACAGTTGTAATTTTGACAAATTTAGCAAAATCCTTTGTCTCTTCCACAACATGGAGCCTACACTGAAGCATAAATTGCATGCATTTTTGCAAAACAAATGTGCACCATCTACACTTAATAATGTTTAATTCCATTTTACGTTGTGTAGCCTGTTTTCTCTGCTTATCGATGTCCTTTGTTAACTTTCTTGATCAAATCACCCATGCTAACATCGCTCATATTTGTGCACTGTTACTGTCTTATTAGAAATTCATTCCATGTAAAAGAGCTATCCATATCCAAAAATAAGAAGAAATAACATTAGCAATACCACAACTTGTATCACTATAGAACAGTACCAAAATTCAGAGCAATAGAGAATGAAGAGAGGTGGAAATAATGTCAAAGATGTTCATGCTCCTTCCCAGCACAGATATCACCAATGGAAGCATAATTTGGTTAACCTCCAAAAGAACATTTCCTCTAACAGGTATCTACAAACATCAGTAGCATGCTCTGTCCAAGTCTAAATCAAAATCATTGATACAAAAAATGAACAAAAGTATCTGCAGAAAAGAATTCCATCACTGAATGAAAGAGGTCATTAAATGAGCAACTCACTTGATGCCATTCTCCTGCATTCTCCTCATAACCCTACATGCTGTTCATCTTCAAAAAGCATCTGACTGCCTTTTAAATGCCTCAATTGAGCCTGTCCTCACCACTCTAGTTTATAAAATCATCTTTCCTTGTACCATTTTTGCTTTGCTTACTCATTACTTTAAATCTACTCTCAAGACTTTCAATGACTGGGAATATTTCCTCCCCATGTACTCTGTGCAGATTGCTCAGGATACTTAAATACTTTGATCATATATCTCTTCTTAGAGTTCTCCAAGAAGGAAAAGTCTACCAAAATCTCCAACCTTTATAACTTAAATCCTTCATACCTAGAAACACTCTCAAACTGTTTTGCATTCCCTCCAACGTCTTTGTATACTTCCTAGAGCGTTGACAGTGCCTAGTACTGGTTGCAATATTAAAGCTGAGGCTAGTCTAATATCTTGTACCAGTTCAACATAACTTCCTTGATCTTGTACTGTCTACCAATATTCACGAAGCATACGATAATGTATGCCGATTACTCTCTCAACCTTCGTTGACTTACATAATCCACATTGCAAACATTGAGAAAAATGCACTCATTTCTTGCTCTTATCACTTGTTCTGATTTTTAATTTATTTTAATATACTTGAGCTCATTTTATATTCGTTGGCTTAAATGCTCTGAACTCAACTGCAGAAAATCAACTAATGCTTATTATTGAGGGTCACAATGGCAGTAGAAGTTCTGGGAATTCACCTTACACTGCAGTCAGCAATTTCCAATACATGAGAAATGGACAAGGGATCCCCTTTTCCTGTCACCAGTTGAAGTAGAAAAGTTACGCTGACTTATTTAGAATCAATACCGGTAAAGGCTGCTCAGGTGGACTATCAAAGGAATCCAAAACAATGACAACCCCAAGACACCTCATATGAACAGTGCGTGCGCACATATGCGCCGCCCAACACTGCATACCTATTTGCATGTGCACACCACGTGCAAATGCACGACCATCCCTCTGCAAACATCAATGTTGTTCACCATCACCTCCCCACCCAAAAACAAAACTGCACTCTCACCGTCCTTGACAATAAAACTGTGTCCCTTCCAGCCATGGCTCACCCCTCTGCCTGTTAGGATTAACATTCAAGACCAGGCCTCCCATTCATCTCAAAACTGGAGGCAGGAATGGAAGACTCTAGCATAAAAAGACAAAGTTAATACATTGCCAGCGGCATGCGCTCTTGTTCCATGAATGAGGTTAGATAATCTGGGCAAATAATTTTGTTTGATAATCTGTCATATTGTTGAGGAAGAGTAACCATAATATGTTAGAATTCATCATTAAGATGGAAAGTGATGTAGTGAATTCTGAAACTAGAGTCCTGAATCTTAATAAAGAAAACTACGATAGCATAAGGCACAGGCTGGCCATGATAAATTGGAGAAAGCTACTTAAAGGGATGACTGCGGATTGGCACTAGCAAACATTTAAAGAATGGATGGAGGAACTGTAACAATTGTTCATTCCTGTCTGGCATAAAAAAAAACAGCAAAAGGGGCCTGACCATGACTGAGAGGAGAAATTAGGGATGGCATTAGACTGATTGAAAGAAAACTGGTCAAAAAAAAAGCAGACCTGAGGATTGGAAGCAGTTTAGATTTTAGCTACGGAGGAAAAATGGGTTGATTAAGATAGGAAAATCAAGAGTAAGCTTAGAGATAATACACAATCTGATTGGAATAGCTTCTATAGGTATGTGTAGAGAAAAAGATTAAAAGAAGAGAAGTGTTTCTGTTGTAGTCAGAAACAGAGGTAGTTATAATGAGGAACAAGTAGATGGTATACCAATTAAATATACATTTTGGTTCTGTCTTCACAAAGGAGGACACAGACGACATCCCAAAAGTGTTGGGAAATGCGGAATCTGATGAGAGGGAGGAACTGAAGGAATTGATAAACAAGGTGTTCGGGTAATTCATGAGATTAAAGGCTGCTAAAACCGCAGGGCCCAATAATCTACGTCCCAGAGCACTTATGGAAGTAGTTGTAGAAAAGTGGATGGGTTGGTGTTCATCTTTTAAGGTTCTGGAACAGTTCCTATGGATTGGAGGGTAGCTAATGGAACCTCACTAGTTTAAATAAAAGGAGATAGAAAGAAACAGGGAATGATAGACCAGTTAGCCTGACATCGGTAGTAGGGAAAACACTGCAGCCCATTATAAAAGATTTAAGAGCAGAGCTCTTGGAATAACAGTGACAGAATCAGATTTACAAAAGGGAAATCATGCTTGACAAGTCTACTGCAACTTTTTGACAATGTAACTAATAGAGTTGATAAGCCAGTATTGTGGTTTTCTTAGATCTTCAGAAGACTTTCAAGAGAGTCTCAAATAAGAAGTTAGCATGTAAAGTTAAAGCTCATGAGATTAGGGATAGTGTATCAACATGAAAAGAGAACTGGTTGGCACTCAGAAACGAAATGTAGCAACAAACAAGTCTGAGATGATAACTTCTTCAGGGAGTGATGAGCTTACTGAATTCTGTGTACCAGAAAGTAGTTGAGGCCAAAACATTGAATGTTTTCAAGGAGTTAGATACAGTTCTTAAGGCTAAAGGGATCAAAGGGTACAGGCAGAAAGCAAGCGCAGGATACTGAGTTGGATGATCAGCCAAGATCATACTGAATAGCAGAGAAAGCTTCCTCCACTTGACTGAGCTCATCCTCACACTGAACAACTTCTCTTTTAACCCGTCTCATTTTCTTCAGGTCAGAGGGGTGGCCATGGGTACATGCATGGGCCCAATTATGCCTGTCTCTTTGTGGGGTATGTGGAATATTCTTTGTTCCAGTCCTATTCCAGCCCCCTCCCACAACTCTTTCTCCGACACATCAATGATATCATCGGTTCTGCTTCCCTCTCTTGTCCGGATTTGGAAAAGTTCATCGATTTTGCTTCCAATTTTCACTTGCCCTCACTTCCACCTGGTCTATCTCTGACTTCGTGCTTCCCTTCCTTGACATCTATTTCTATTTCTGGGGACAAACTGGCCACAACTATTCACTATAAACCCACCGAACCCACAGCTACCCAGACTATACATTCTTGCACCCTGCTTCCTGTAAAGACTCCATTCCGTTCTCCCAGTACTTCTGTCTCTGTTGCATATGTTCCGATGAGGCCAGCTTCAACAAGGAAGCCTTCGAAATATCCACCTTCTTCCTCAACCAGGGATTCCCCAGCACCTTAGTTGACAAGACCCTCAACCAGGTCAGACCCATCTCCGCCCTCATGCCCTCTCTTCCCTCCTACAACAACAATAGGATACCCTTTGTCCTTTACTATGGTCTCCTCTACATTAGGGAAAATGAAGCATAGACTGGGTTGACCACTTCAAAGAACATCTGTGTTCTGCCTGCAAAAAAGACCCTGAGCTTCCAGTTGCCAGCCACCCTGGATAACATCTCTGTCTCAGGCTTGCTGCAGTGTTTCAACGAACCTCAGTGCAAGCTGGAAGAACATCTTATTTCCACTTGGGGATCCTGCAGCCCTCCAGACTCAATATCGAGTTCAATAATTTTAGGGCCTGAACTCTTGTCCTTGCCCCCTATCCCACACACCAGGCCTTGCTATCACATAGTCTGCCATTACACACCACCTATTGTTAGTCACTCTCCTAGCCAGATTGTTATCAATCCTTTGTCTGTCCAACTGTTCTTCTCTCTCTTTGGACTCTATCCCCACCTATCATTTACCCCTTACTCCCTCCCCCCACCCTATCTTCTGCATATAAACCGACATTTTCCCAGCTACCATCGGTTCTGAGGAAGGGTCACCGGACCTGAAACATTAACTCTGATTTCTCTTCACAGATGCTGCCAGACCTGCTGAGCTTTTCCAACAACTTCTGTTTTTGTTTCTGATTTACAGCATCTGCACTTCTTTCAATTTTCAGCAGAGAAGGCTTGAAGCCTATATCTGCTTCTAATTTCAACATTTCTGTGCTTGTAAAGCACTTTGCTAAAGTCCACAGACACTGCACTGGATTCATTTTCCTTATATATCACCTTTTTTACTTCTTCCAATGGATCTATTTTGTTTGTTAAACATTATTGGCCCTTTTTGAAATCTTTGTTGGCAACTTCTAACTTGCTCTTTATTCAAGCGCATGGTAATGCACTTATCCTTAACAATAAACTTGGCAGTTGTCCCAATAATATTTAGCTATCTAGACCATGCTAATGCAGATTACACCTTTTGAAACAATAGGTTCTACACTGGCCTCTTTTCATTGTTCCAGCACATAACTACACTTGACAGTACAATGAAATATCATTTCTACAGCCTCGCAAAAATTTATTTCTTTATATCTCTCATGTGCACCTATCTGATCTGATCATCTCTTCAAATTGACAATGTCTTTTTCAGGAAAATTTCTGCATTTTTAAACAAAAACAAATTTCTGGGAAGACTCAGCAGGTCTAAACTTCTTTGCAGGAGTTCTGAAGAAGGGTCATTGGATGTGAAATGTTAACTCTGCTTTCTCTCCATAGATACTGCCAGACCTGCTGAGTTTTTCCAGCAATTTCTGATTTTGTTTCTAATTTCCAACATCTACACTTTGTTGGATTTTTTGTACCACATTTTTAAGTGCTTTTTTCACAAATATGCCTTTTGAGTTTTCTTGAATTATCTACCTCACTTCTTCTTGCTATAAAGCCTTTTACTTATTTCTTTGCATTATTCTTATCATCCTCACTGCAACTGTGAATAGTTTCTGGAGACTGAAAGGACTGCAGATGCTGGAAGCTAGAGTCAACAAATTTGGAGCTGGAAAAGCATAGCAGGTCAGACAGCATCCAAGAAGCAGGAAAGTCAGCATTTCAGGTCGGAGCCCAGTCCTGAAGAAGGCTTCTGACCCAAAATGTTGACATTCCTGTTCCTTGGATGCTGTCAGATGTGCTGTGCTGTTTCCAGCTCCATATTTATTGACATTAAACAGTTTCTAACTGCTTTAATTATCCATGGCATCCCAAAACTCCAAGCAATTTACCGCTGTAAACAGGAGGTATATGAAATATTCCATCCCTTTGCAAACTCTTGAATCGCTAAAATCATCTTCCCTGTTCTACAGTCCTACACATCAATTTCTTCTTCCAGTGCAACTTTGCTGGATACATGCACAACTTCAAAAATCTACCACAATTGAATGTGGTTCTCACAATAACACTTCCCCTTTCAAGATTTAGAAGTGACATGAAACCTGTACCATTGGCTGGTCACACTATTACTTGAACTGTGGTTCAACAAAATTTACTCCCCTTACCACTTTAGTGCTAATTTCATATTAAGTATGAAAGATAAATAAGATCGTTCCAAACAAAAGGACAGTCAATCACTTGCTGCAATTCTTTTCATGAACTGCATATTGTTTTGGTAATATTATCTGTGTTAAGAATTAGTAAAAACAGAAGACTACTCACATTTTCTGACACACAAGGTCCTTTAGCACAAAGTGATATACAGGGTCCAATGGCTCCAGAAATCTTGATTTCCCTTGATGTCTTCAGAGGAAATAAGTTTTTTTTAAAATTATACACCTTCAATGCAGAATTGTGCTTGAATTTAATTAAAAACAAGTTAGATCTAAGTCTAGGAAAGTTTAAGATATAAAGGAATCTAACTGCTGTCATTTCAAGTATTAAAACAGGTATGCATCTTCAACTAAAAATAAACTTTCCAAGTCCAATATCAAAATAAGAATGTCAAAAAGTATTACTCCATTCAATTATTTCCCATGTACAATTGTGTGCTAAGCAAGATAACTTATTTTAAAAGTGCATGAGCAATTCTACTAACTTCTGGTGTGTAATTCTGATTCAGAGTTAAATTACACCATCAGATACAGAATTGTGGAAGTTATTCCAATTATTGCAAGTAAGTAACATTGCACGACTTTGTACTTTTGATTTAAAAAAATGACATAATTGTTTCTTAAAAACAGTAAAGTAAATCAACCTTCTTAGCAACATGTCAAAAACGTAAGCATAAAATCTGATACACATTTTGGATGACATACTTAACATTCCTATTTATTTATTGATGAATAAACTAGATAACACAGGAATACAATGAGCTAGATTTGGAAAACATGTAACAGGTACTTCCTGCCAGTGTTCATTTTATACACACTTTAAATTATCAAAGATTTTTGGTTATTAACATTGGTTCTTGACTTCAAGGGAACAAGTTGGGAATGGCCTTTTGAAAGGTAGTTTACTGTTGATTCTGAGACAGTCTTAATTAAAGAACATTCGTCCTAAAGTGACTAGTGATACAAAACCATGAAAATAATTCTTATAAGAACTTCAAACTGAAGGCTATGCAGGGAATATTCAAAAATGTCTTCATTCTTGCTTGGGCAAAAAACATAATTACATGTTTGCTAGTAGAGTAATTTAAAATAAGCTGTAGGCCAATAAATAGCCTCACACAGAGATCCAGCTCCATTTTCACTGTTGCTTTCCTGGCAATTTACATGTGACAGAAATTCTGATCCAAATATAACATTTCATATAATGTCTCAACTAATGAAATAAAATAGGCACTCATTTTGCATTCCAATAATGGAGCTTGTGATCATCTCAGGGAATCTGATAGTTGATAGCTTGATTTCTGGAAATCTTTAGAATTCAGGAAGGTCCAAGGCTCCAATCGCAGCTTGTAATAATAAAAAGATTATGGTGAGAATTAAGTCAAACAGCATTACCTTAATTTCTAGTGTTCCTCCAAAAGCCATTTTAAATTGTCCCTGGATATCCTTTGTAAACACTCGCTGAAAAGTTTGCTTAAACAGGGATGTGTTGAAGGAGTCTCCCATCACCATGTAACCCCTGAAAAAAAAGGGGTTTATCATCAAATAAAATGGAAGAAAAATGATTATTAAAACAAAAAGCATAAGATTAAATGCCAGCTCATTCAATTGCCAATTTAAAGCTGAGAGGACTGTCAACTGATAGAGTTCAAATCCCACTTAAGCAACATCAATGCACAAGTTTGCCCAAGGAAAAAAGTCAGTTTTCAGCTTTAGTATGTTTATTGAGCATCGTTGATTGGTCAAAAGTCTTTATAGTAGGATGTAAAGAAATTAGATGAAGAGTTTGTTCTTCCATTGTTTTAGTTCATCTTTTGGGATGATCAGGAATCTGTATCCACAACAGCTAAAAGTTGTATTCATGAACAACAGTAGAACTGAGAGGCAAAGAGGAGAATAAATGTAATTCTAAAACAAATTTTAAAAATCTATAAAAATTGAGAACATCCACATGATTGTGTTTAAGACCTGATATGCTGTATCAGGATGGCCAGCTCTGCAACAAAAAACCTATTCAATTCAATCCAAATATTCAGCATATCAAGTCAACAGAATAGTTCCAATGACTTAAATGAGCAATTTATAGTTCCTGCCAGCTTTTATGCGCCATTATTAAAACGTGGCTTTTTTAAGGAAGCATTAGATATTCAAACAAGTTTAAAAAATGTAACTAACATTGCAAAACAAGATATTTAACAGAATTTTCCAAGTACATGTGGAGAAGCACAAACTATGTATTTGTTACCATGCACAGGGAGCACCAAGAAGTTAGACATTCTTGAGACTGATAACAAATGTAAGTTCTCTGATATCAAACATGTTAAGTTTGTTAACATAAAAACTTGAATTACAAGATAAGATACAACTACTGTTATTCTTTTCCAATTAATCAAAATTCAAAACCAAGTTAGAAGCTGCAACTTGCATATTTGCTACTCCTTAAAACAGAAGATATCGGCAATTCAAGGGCATTGCAGGTACTTCCGTATTGCAATACTTCCAAATTACAAGGCTTCATTCCTCAGAAATGAATCACATCGCAACAGTTAATAACAGATACCCATTAGGTAATAATCCTATGCCCAGAAACAGTTACCATGTATGGAACTTCAAGTTATTTTTAAAACAATCCAGTTTTTAAAAATGTATGTTAATCTGTAAGAGGCAAAGAAACAGTAAAACATCTATATTTTCTTAAGCACTAACATGTTAGAAGATGGAAGCTTTTATAGGAACATGTCAAGATGCATGAGCGTTGGAAAGTATTGCAAGATTTCATTATGTATCCTCTCAACTCAGTAAAGTAAAAGAGAGAACAGCTGCAAGCCTTTTTACATATTTTCTAACCACCTAAATCTGTAACAGAACAATATGCACACTTGTATGATGACTGTTGTATTTTGTGGTCAATTCTATGTTAAATGTCACCCGGTGTGACTCAGAAGCCAAATCTGCTATGGCAGAGGAAGATAAGTGCAAGATTTGCTGGCCTGTTTTTCCTGGGCCCTCTCCTTGGCGACCAGTGTCAAATGCCCATCCAAACAATCAGCCTCCAGATTTCATGACTATCATTTTCAGCTGCCCTTGTATCAGATTGATGATGGTATGCCAATATCCTGGACCATAATATTTGTCTTTCTGATGGTCAAACCAAACTACTAATAGGCATGATAGCCTACAAATTTGCATGGAACATTCATGCCTGCATAAACAGCATAAGCAATTATGCTAGACTAAAGCATTAAACCTTTACACAAATCGAGAAGTAGGACAAAATTCATTGGATTATGGTGGATGGACTTAGTTAATCAGATAACAACTAGAGAGAAAAAGGTCCCCCGAGAATCTTTCTTTTCAGCTTTTAACACCACCACCATCCACCCCCTCCCCAAAACAGATTGATCGTTGATATACAAAAGGAAAAGTAGAATATCTTGCGGCAAGATAGATTTTGTTTGGAAAACCGCAAAAACTAAAAACTGTTTAGATGAACCTACATCAAACACATTCAGGAAAAGAAACAGAATTATATTCACTGCACTTGCATCATTGCTGCCTTCACATTTCATACATTAAGATTTGGCTTTGGCACATTACGATCAGTAATTTGATTTCATTAAGCCAAAGACTACTCACCCTGTATGATTTGGGCAGCATTTCATTTCATTGAGACCAGTCTGATCCAATGCACAAGCGTAGATATCAATAACATGGCCATTTGCTGCTGCTCGATTTGACAAGGCTTCATAGTGCTACATTAAGAGTAAATGTTAAAATACTGAAATGTCAAACCAACTCAATGTCTCCTATAAAAAAGGAGCCACGTTTTGAAATCGTAAATGTACAATTAGTATCATTTATCTTTTCCATCCATTTTGATTTGAAAAGTCTGCTTTTCAGATAAGTTAACGTTACAATATCTATAATATGAAGTAAAAATTGACTTTTAGGGGAATTGGATAACCACCTGAAGAAAACAAAATTTCTGGCCAAGGGGGAAACTGGTTGGGGTTTGGGAGCATCAAGTTGTTCTTACAAAGAGTGTGTGCTGGAATCAGTATGGAGATTAAGAATAACAAGAGTCTGAAAAACATCATCAGGAGTAACTAATTGGCCCCTTGACAGTGGCTATGTTGTTGATTAGAAGTTTAAGTGAGAAATAATTGCAGTTCGTAGCAAAGGCAATGTCATAATAGTGGGTTACAGAAATTTTCACTTCGACTGGACAACTCAAACTGGCAGAAATGCCTGGACGATGAATTTCTAAGGTGGTTTTTTGACATTTCAAAATGCATTTTGACTAAACTAGGAATAAACGTTCTAGTAATTTGCAATGTGGCAAGGTTAAATAGCAATTTTATAAGAAAAAATCTGCTGAGAAAAGATGATCATGATAAAACTGAATTCCAAATTGTGTGAAAGCAGCATTTTTCAGTTCTAAACAAGAGGGGAGAGCTTGTCCAGTTGCATGGCCAAAAATCAAAAAGTATAACGATAAACAGTACTTTCAACTGTTCAATAAAAATATATCCCACTGGAAAACAAAAAAGCTAAGCAAAAACAATACAACTGTTGCTAAGGAAGTTGAAGAGCACATTAGATGAAAGAGGGAGGCCTATAAAGTTGCAAAGAAGAATGACAGGTCTAAGGATTCTGTGGGTCTTGGAAACCAACAAAGACCATTAAATGCAGGAACAGAATTAGGCCATTCAGCCCACCGTGTCTGCACCACCATTTGATCACGGTTGGTATATTTCTCAACGCCATTCTCCTGCCTTCTCTAAGTAACCTTTGATCCCCTAAGGACACCATAAGGTTGATTGAAAAGGGAAAGAAAACAGAATGAGAAAGTAAACTAACCAGGACTATAAAAGCAGATAGCAAGAGCTTTTATAAGTATGCAAAAAGGAAGAGTGTGCCTAAAATAATGCTTTTCCTTTTAGAGACAGAAACAGCAAAAATTATCCTAGAAACAGCAGACACTGAACAGATATTGTATTGTCTTCATGTTACAAGGCATCAGTCACTTTCCAGAAAGAGAGACTGACCAATAGATTAATAAGAGAGAAAACTAAGTTAATTAATATCAATGGAAATAAAGTATTGGAGAAATTCAAGAAACTAAAATCCAACATTCATCTGAAAACTGCTGGAATCTACTAAAAAAACCTTAGCAATGAACTTAGAAAATCATATGATCAAGGTTAACATGATTTTTACCCAAGGAAATCATCTTTAACAAATTAATTGCAATTTCTTAAGGATGTAGCTACTGGGGTAGATAAAAGGAAACCAGGAAATGCTGAATACTTGACTTCCAAAAGCATTGACAAGCCAGAGGAAGTAGTGGAGGCGGATATAATTACAACATTTAAAAGGCACCTGGATGGGTACATTAATAGGAAGGGTTTAAAGGGATATGGGCCCAATGCTGGAAAATGGGACTAGGTGAGTTTAGGATATCTGGTCAGCATGGACCAGTTGGACTGAAGGGTCTGTTTTCTTGCTGTGTAACTCTATGACTCCGAGCAAGATAAGTTGGGATAATATATTAGCATGTTGCATAACTGGGACCATATTGTTAAGAAGAATGGGAGTTAAGAAGAATGAAGATGTTTGAACGGTTATTTACTGAAGCTGCTTCCATGGCTGGGGAATTTAGAAAACAGGCACATCCTCAGGATCAAGGGACAATCATTTCGGACTAAGAGAAGCAGAAATCTCTTCACTCAATACATGACAGAACCTATGGAACTGTTTATCCCAAAAGATTGTGGGTGCTCTACCGCTGAAAATATTTAAGGCTGAGATAGACAGATTGTTGGTATATCAGGGAATCAAGGAGTGTGGGAAATGGGCTGGAAATCTGAAGCAGAAGATTAGCCAAAATCATACTGAATGGCCACGCAGGCTTGAGGAATCATTTGATCTACCTGCTTATGTTTTTAATGCTATGTTTTGAAATATGCAACATTGCCAAGATCAGAAACGAGTCATCTGTGTTACCATCAGTTTCTTCATTCCCAATATTGGACAGGAAGAGTGAATAATAAGTGGAAGAGGATTCAGAATGAATGCATAAACATGGAGAAAGGAAATAATTAGTTTATACACAAAGATGATCAATCTGCTGTTTGGATCAACATACATGCTTACTCTAATTTTTTTTATTATGGTCATTGACCATAATAGATCTTAAAGCCAACATTCTAAATAAATATCGTTGCATTGCTGAACTAGTTTCAAACGCAGTGCTATGTTACAATGTTTCTTACTATTTTGTTTTAAAAGCATTAAAATGAGGGATCTCTGTATATAAAATTGTTAATGCAAGGGGAGGGAGCAGGTGCATTTGGGTATGAGGTGGTTAGGGTAGGCATTGGGAAATTGAGAGAAAAACAAGGGAAAGTAAGACAGAAAAGGATTGAGGGGAAAAGAGGAGTAGGTTTTCCCCCATCATCCAATGGGTGAAGCTGCACTGGCTTTGTTTTATTCTCAATCTAATTAGCGAAGCAATCACTGCAATGGTTTCTCTTCCTGTTATCATACATCACCTCTTTTGTTCCTGAGGACCCATCATTGGTTCCAGCCTTTAGGTAATCTAATTGTCGAGTCTTAGTAACAGTTGCTCAGGTTGAATCGGACACTAATCTATGCCGCATCTCTTAAATCAATTAAAAGCTTTCATATTGTTCAGGCATGTTAATTTTGGAGTGTTGTCTCCCTGGTTAAATAGTGGTAATTTTCTATTCAGAGGTATTAAGGGATATAGGACAAAAGTGGTCTTATGAAGCTGGATTACAGATAAGCCATGATTTCAAATTAAAGCAGAACAAACTTGAAGGGCTAAATGGCCTACTGTTGTTCCAATTTAGGAAAAGATGTGCATAATATTTACCTTCATGGCTTTCTTCATATATTTAATGTTGTCTTTCTCAATATCATGCCAAGACCTGATAGGTGTTTTTAGATCATCACCCACAACCATTCCTGGTCCTTGTGTGGCTGGGCCCCCAATGAACAACATCACACGACCTCCAGTATTGGGGAAAGTGCACTATTTTAAAAGAAGAAACATAAATGAAAACATAGGAGCAAATACAGCCTGTTAAGAAATTAATCAAAACCACTCATACACAATATGGCAATTTATTAGTACTTCTGTATGAGCTTTAAGATAATAATCCTGAATAACTTATACTTATTTGGATAACTTTTTCTAAATCTTCTATAATTTACATACTTCATCCTATCTTTTATTATTTGAAATGAATGCCAATTCTGATGCAGCAGTGTTACAAGGAATTCAATACGTTTCTCTGCACAAGTTCCAACTTTACGTGATTGGATAAAAGAAAAGGAAAGTCAATGCCTACAGAGCTGGTCAGTGATATTATCAGGATTAACTTTTACGATTACAGCATGATAGGTCAGTTTTATTTTGCATAATGCCAAACGGCTAAGTTGTGAATAAGCAAGATAGATTTAAATGTCAACATAGACAACACATTACCTGTCTGTGCAGTTACAAAAAGCAATCAAGTATGGTAATAGATGTTGGAATGTATCATGGTGGACAAATAAATAACTCATTGGAGTTGGCAAGAGTATCACAATCATAACGATGCAGGAGCCCAGCATATCAATGCAGAATACAAGGCTCAAGCCTTTGCAACCCTCTTCAGCCAGAAATTTTCAATTTATGGTCCTGCTTGGTTTTCTCCTCAAGCGCCCAACAGTGTAGAAGCCTGTCTTCAGCCAATTTAATTCACTACAGAAAATATCAAGATATGGCTGAAGGCAAAGGTACCTGACAACTTGATGGAGTAGATCTGAAGACTTGTGACTCCCCAGACCAAATTGTTGCAGTGCAGTTACAACTGGCATCTAACCAACAGTGTGAAAAATCATCCAGGTAGACTCTGTCTGCCAAAGTTATTGAGTCATACAGCACGGAAACAGGCCCTTAGGCCTAACTTGTCCATGCTGACCAGTTTTCCTAACCTGAACTGGTCCCATTTGCCTGTGTTTGTCCCATATCCCTACAAACCTTTCGGGATTAAACCAATGTAGCTAATTACCACCTCAACATTTGACTCTCAATCATCTGCAAAGTAATGGAAAGCGTTGTCAACAGTGCTATCAAGTGACAGTGACACAACAATAACCTTTTCGCTGATACCCAGTTTGGGTTTCATCAGGGCCACTTGGCTCCTGATCTTATTACAGCCAAACAAGGACTGCAAAGTTGTAACTAAAAATTGTAAGGTGAAATGGCAAGATGGCATTTGACCGTATGGCACCGAAGACTCTTATCAAAACTGAAGTTAACAGGAATCAGGGTTTAGTTAATGGAGGACAATCACCTCAATCCAGGGTATTGCTACAGGTTTTCTTCAGAGCAGGACTACAGCTATTTCATCAACAACCTACCTTGCATCATATGACCAGATGTAGACTGCTTGCTGATGACTGCATAACATTGAACAGTATTCTCAACTCTTCAGATACAGAAGCTGCCTGTACTCTACAAGCAACAAGACTTGGGCATCATTCAGGTTTGGGCTGCTAAATAGCACGTAACAAATATGCCACACAAGTGCTAGGTAATGATTATCTCTAACAAAAGAGAATCTAACTATCTTCCTATGAAATTCAATTGCATTATCGCCACAGAATCAAGCACTTGCAATCCTCTTCAGTCAGAAATGCTGACAGTATGATCTATTTTAGCTTCCTCATGCTCACAGCAGTGTAGATGCCATACTTCAGACAATTCAATTCACCCCAAGTAGTACAACTGAGGATTAGCATTGGCCAGAAACTGAACTGGACCAGCCACATAAATACTGTGGCTGTAGAAGTAGATCAGAGGAGCTGGGAATTCTGTAGGAATAACTAACCTCTCCCCTTCTTGGATCCTGACTACTGTCTACAAGGCACACATCAGCAATACAATGGACTGTTCTCTGCATTCCCGATTGATTGCAGCTCCAACATAAACTCAAAACCATCAAGCAAAAAGCAGCCCATCTGATTCACCGCGTTAAACATTAACTTTATCCATCACTAACACACAGTGACAACAGTTGCTTTGGTACCCTATTCCGTTTTTATTTCTGTTAAGAAAACAGAGAATGCCATTTGCTTTAGTATCGTCCTAATGTCATCCTACCATCTTTAAAGACGTAACCCAAGATCTGTCTGTTCTGAATTCCCTTCAAAATTGTACTATTTACTAATATTGTCTATTCCTCATTCATCCTACCAAAATCATTTCACATTTCTCTGAAGTCCGTTGTGACCCTTCTCACCATTAACGACATTTTTAAGTTTCAATTCATTGTAAACTTTGAAATTATGCCATCTACACTCAAGACCAAAGTAGAAAATGTTAGAAACACTCAGCAGGTCAGGCAGCATTTGCAGATAGAAGAAGAGTTAATGTGTCTCTCCTCTCACAAGCTGCCAGGATTTATAATTTCAGTTTCAGATATCTATAATCCGCAGTAATTTTCTTTGATATAAACAGCAATGATCTTCAAAGCAATGCCTGGGGAACAGAACCTTATCCCTCCCTCCAATTCAAACTCAAATTTTTATCACGGTTTTCCACTATTTGTCTCTTAGACAATTCTATATCCATATTTCCACTGACCTTTTAGTCCGAGTTTCAATTAACATGCTAAAATTATAAGGAAATAACTAAATTTTTCACATTCAGAATGCAATGTCAGTTCCGGAGAAATAGCAAAGTAAGCATTAACAAGGAATGTAAATGTATAAAGCTTTACAAAGTAATAATGTAAAATGGGTGAATGCAAGTACTATAAATGTAAAGAAAAAGGCAGAGAAATATACAACGAGATCCAGTTTTTATGAACGTGAGAATCTGAGCAAATGAAATTTTTTAATTCAATTGTGGGAAGCGGGCATTGCTGTTTGAACCAGCATACAGACTCTTCCCCACTTGTCCTTGAGAATGTGGTGGTGAGCTACCTTCTTGACCTACTGTAGCTTACATACTGTAGATAGACCCACATATCATTAGGGAAGGAATTCCAGGAAGTTGATCCAGCAACAATGAACGAAAGGCAACCACGTCAAGACGGTGATTGGCTGGGAAGGGAATTTGCAGATGGCAAATGTTCCCATGTACCTGCTGCCCTTGTCCATGTATACTAATAGCCTAAAATGGGCTTACTAACTGTTAAAGAATGGTTATTGATTGAATTGTTGTGAACAATCAGACAGTTGATCAAAAATATTTACAAGGAGATATGCACACATTTGGCAATAATTTCATAAATAAACAGGTTACAACTGCCCTTAGGCGGTGCCTGATGCCAGAATGGTACATGCCCACACTTGATCCTTGAACGAATGATGGGAATATCTACGGCTTTGTCGTAAGTGCTCTAGAAGCACAAACCATCCAATTTAGAAATTTGGAAAAATATTTGAAAATAAAGAAAAATGTACAGTGAAAGGACAGGGTAATGAGATTATAATAAGTAGTTGCAGTTGACGAGTATGCCACTGGCATAGACATGATATAAAGTCAATAGCCTGCTATTGTGCTGTAATTCAACAATCAGGAACATAGGCACAAGCTAATCTCATCCCCGAGTCTGGTCTGCTCTTCAAATGGATCACGGCTAATCTGTATCTTAATCTATCCGCTTTGGTTTTTTAATTCTTGAAAACCTTGCTAAACAAAACTCTTGCAATCACAGATCTAAACTTTCTAACTGTTCTCCAGCTTCAACAGCTTACAAAAATAACAACTATTGGCAGCTTATTTCTTCCAAGCTTGGGTTCTCCCTCTGCAGGTATTAAAAGGCAACACCACTGCATTTTTTTTATGGAAAAAAAAACAAATACAATTCAAAAATCAAGCTATTTTTGCAGCATTTTTCATGTGGCAAATTCTCATAAACATAGTCAGGTGAAGTTGGCAATGGAGGAGATAATACTTCGAAGGAAGAGAGAGGTCTTGTGGTACAGTGGTAATGACTTCCCCTCAGGGCCAACAGCTCAAGTTCAAATCCAAGTCTAAGTCCAAGTCCTATACTAGGACTTGCTGGGTATGTAAAAAGCATTCATTATCTTGTTCAATGGATGGCTAATTAGCCCAGGAATCCTTCCATCACCTCCCCACTATACCTTAAAGGGGGGGTGAAAAAATAAACGTATGTCAAAAAAAACCTGAACCAAACAGATTCTGTGAACCCTCGAATACATCACACACCTTCTTCTCAGCATAAAAACAGAACGTTCAATCTTCAACCGACACTTCTTATTTAAAGGGACATTTATTGACACTGGTACCAAGTTATAGAATTAGCACCCAGACACTTACAATGTCTCACTGGAATAAATCTAAAAATGAGTAAAGATAGACTCTGGTCTCCTCGTTTGGCAACTCTTGTAGAGATGTTAGGGAAAATAGCCATGCAGCACTTGACCAAAAAGCAATCTTGCTTCTGCCCCCTGTCATGGCAAGGGATAAGGACTGAAATTCCACGTGTTTTCCTTAGTTTACTCTTTACTTTGGCAAACCTTGCAATCCCCAAAGCAGTAGTAGAAAACTGATATACAGGTGTCAGAAAAAAACACTACACTTTATCAGTTAAGAAGCACTTGGGAGAAAAACCTAGTATTTGCAGAGAAACACACAATAACTTATTGAAATAGATCACCGCAACCTACACATTGGACAACAGCCATGTTAAAGCATACATTAAATCGCAACAATACACGATTCCATGAAATTTATTCTACCCTAAAGAATAAATGCTGGTGTTACTCTGGCCACAAATACTTGCCATGCATTCTGATCCACTGCAAAATCTTTGTACTGAGAACCACAAAGACCAAAAAAAGGCCTTATAGCTCCCTCCCTTGTACTATTCATAACAGATACAATGGACAGCAAGAAAATACTTCCTTTTATTGTGTACTTATTATTTTTATGAACAAAACATAAACAAGAAGAATATGCCGATATAATGAGTGAATTTGTAGTCTGTTAGGATCTAGACTATTTTGACATGCATGCAGTTTAAGATTCCTTGATTACACAACAACAAATCCCAGACTCCGGCTGAAGGAAACAGCCGTGTCAACGACATCTCTCACTCAGAAGAGAGAGAGAGAGAGAAAAAAAGAAAGGTGGGAATGGAAATGGGGTACGATCTGGCATGTTAGCATTTAGACAAATCATCAGCTAACCAACAACTTGAAGTGCTCAGGTTGTGCTTCTAGTAGATTGGAAAGTATAAGGAAAATTCATATGGTTATAATGAATCCAAAAAGAGTTAGCACTGGTCTTACTGTATCCGGTAATACATTAGCTCCATAGAATGGAATTCCTGAAGGGGCACATACCTCTAACAGACCAACAGCAATGGATAGAGCAACTCCAGTAGATCTCAGTGGTCTTTTCCCCTGCGGCACAGGCCAAGGGTCACGTTGCAATTCTCCCAGAAGATCAGTCAAGTTCATGTCAATTTTTTGAACTGGTTGCAAAAATCTGTAACATCACATTTTCAGGCACTTTAGGATAATCATACTGCATGTTGTGGATATTTGATTCCAATCCCAAAATAGTGATCAAATAGATACAACATTAAAACAAAAAATTAATAAACTTAGAAGCATTAAAATACTGAGACATAAAAGGAATTGCTATGCTCCAAATAATGTTTAATGCTCACAACACTTTTTGGCCCGGTCATTTGTTTTATGGCATGGATGACAATTCCCTATTTATCAACCAGTGAGCTTTGGAAAGACTGAATGCGAGTGGTATGTTGGTAATATTTGGAGAGTGCCTGCTACTTTTTAGTATGTGGAAACTGCTGCTATTTATACATTTTTGAAGAGTATCATGATTTGACAACAGGATAATTTTTTCTTGTCCAAGTGGCTGGAAAAATAAATAAGACTTTTTGCTAAGGTATTCTAGTGATGACAGAAATCCAGAAAGCTTTTCAGAGCAAACAAATAGTGGCAATTGGAAAGTATATCATTGAAATCCAAATGAATATGTACTATATCTTTTTAAAACCATTATACTTGATGGGTACCTTTTCTTCAGAAATATATGCATTTGCACTTACAATTGTGTCATGTTAGTTATTATAAAGTTTACTGAGGATTGATTTTGGATTGGCCATCCAAAAGCATGCATTTCTCAAATTTCTCACCAAAATATCACCCACTTTTTGTCTCCTCATCTGCACTGAACAACTACCCATCAGCTGATGCCCATCTCCAGATCATGTCTCTGTACCTGCTCCCTTTTGATTTTGCTGTTTTCTTGTTCCCTGCTATCTCTATGCATATTGATTCTTTAAATAAATCCATGCTCAGCCATGGTGCCTCTACTCTTGTGATACTGATCACAGTCAAACCCATTTCCAACTACAGTTTTGTATCTTTCATACACATCACCCAACACCTTCCAAACCCAGATTCTAGGTTCGCCCTTGAGGAAAACAAAACCTCTCCATCGTGTCAATTACAGTTGCACTGCAAAACTCTCAACCGCTTAGTCTTTGATTGCTATTTCCCCTAACACTTCTACAGTTGTCAGTCTGCTCAACCACTCCTTTACCTGCACCTTTGGAACCTTTGCCCCAAGTTGCTTACAAAAAATTGATCAATATCAGCTTTGAAATCTTGAATTTGCCCAGCCTCAACAGCTTTTTGGTGGAGTGCATGAAAAAGTGCTTGCTGATATTGCTTTTAAAAAGTCTAACTCTGCTTTTAAGGTTATTCCCCTTTATGGGAAATTGTTTCCTTGACCAAATCTATAAAACCACTGCATCGTGTTACACAACTCAACTATATCACTGCTCAATTTTGCATGTATCTCCCCTTCAGGTACAAAGGGTGTAGAATTGATCTGGCATTTGATGATTTATCATCCATTACTGGACCTGGCTGAACCACATGAAGCACTACTGTTTATCACTCTCAATTAAGTTTCTCACCCTGTTACAGGGCTGGGACCACCTTAATTACTCACAGGCAAAATTCCCTGTGACTGTGGTGCATTTTTCCTCTTGACTGGATTATATTTTTCATTTTCTAGCTCAACTAGATTGCTTGTTGTTCCTTGGACATTTCAATTACTTCTCTCAGTGTCTTTTGTGGTTGATTATTCATTATTAGCCATTCATCTCTTCCATATCTCTGATTAGCCCCATTTGGATTTTCATTTCCATTTCTTCACAACACACTCTAGTGTGTTCCATTCATTGTCATTTAGCCATCAAAAATGACCACTTCTAATGTTAAACATGCGAACATTATTGCTTTAAACGATACAGAATTTATGAAAAACATGCATGCAGTAAAGATAAAATCGTACTAAATGTATGAAAAATAGACAGTGAAGATTTCCTATTTGTATTTGTCTGGATATTCTTGACAGTTTGAATTCTTCTTTGGGTCATAGAGGTGACTCCTGTTAGTGAGATCGTAATGGCAGAACTTGTTAAATGCCATGCTTTAAGTAATTCTCCACAAAAAAAAAAGAACCACGGACGCTGGAAATCAGTAATTCTATGTTCAGAAGTCAGGCTTAGTAATGCAGCTAGTTTACAGGGAAACGAGCTGCAATATTCAGTTACAAAAGTATTCAAATAGATCACACTTCTGAGGTGCAGGCTTTAATGAATCATGTACTAAACAATACATTGGTAGCAAAAGCAGAGACAAATTGAATATTAAATAAAGCAAGTATAAAGGGCATAAAACTGTAATGATCAAAGCAAGGAAAAACAGCAAACAGAAGAATGAATCAGATTGTTTTCTCCATAATTTCTTTTCTATTAGACACCTTCACTAGGAAAAACAAGAGTGCAGATATGCATAATTATAAGACAGGACCAATTTTTCATTTCATTTTTATCTTTTGATATATACTTGACTCAACATCAAAACACTTCTCACAAGTATAAATAAAATAGTCATACCCTTAAATGATTTGTTTCTCTGTTCTAAGAATGACCCTAAAATATACCCAAAATCTATAAAAGCATTTACTGCGAAGAAAAATATTCAGAATTTCAGAAAGACATGGCTAGTAACTAGATTCAATCCCAAAGAGAGCATATTTTTAAAATTAAAACATTTGAAGTTGAGGAAACTAATTTACTTTGGAACAGGAAATTAATTGTACAGATTGCACGCAAAAGAAATAATATTGTTGACTTCTGTTTCAACAGTGTGACTTCAAAAACAGGAATTTTAAAAACGATGAAGTGTTGCATTATGGCTACCCACAGGATAACGCTGTGGTTAAATATACTGCTAAAACCACTATCATTCAGGTATTTTAAAGATTGCAACTAGCAACACAAGCAGCAGAATTTACAGCACTATTTTCGACAAAGTGCATAATCAATTTATTTTTAAGTTTTCCAAGCTGTCTGACCAATTTAAAAGTTGCCATTTTTGGAACCTATAGCTAGTTCATCCAATATTAGGTGGCTGCAAGAACAGAAGAAAACACTGCCCCGACTGGCAAAGCACCTATCCACTTAGAATAGTGCCAGTTGGTGCCAGAAGATTGTGGTAGTTTGGACATTGATCCTTTATCTCTTGCTCAAATCCAAATCACACTGACAGATGAAAGTCTACTGGCTGTAAGAATCAATTTTTTTAAAATCCAGATCCTGAGCTAATAATTAGCCCATATGGGAAAATAATGGCCTTATTTTGCCATAATTGATCAGAAGTCATAGGAAGTCTTAGTGTGGAACATAGAAAAAAAACATCAAAATCAAGTTGGCCAACAATTTGGAAATGGGCCTAAAATTTACACATGATGAGGCTGCAGTTTTGTACACTCTCTAAATGTAACTATTCAACTCACAGTTGATGCTATTTAAACCACAATTTCTCAAATAAACCAGAAATAACTCAGAATTTCACCCACTATGTCATTCAGTACAGAAGCTATCCATAAGGTTTAACTAATTTATTATAGATATGTGCCATGCTCACAAGTACTAGATGGTTATTACCCAAAGTCACACAAAAGATCCTACCTATCTTTGCAGGATTCAAATCAGATCTTAGAAGTGTAGTAGCCTATTGTGTACTGATTCCCCATCATTAACAGTAAAGTCTCATGGAAAATGGTTTTGAACATCTAAAATTACCAAATTTAAAATATAGCAAAGTAGCTATAAGCAATTTTAAATTGTAAATTATAAGGAACAGAATATCAGTATATCTTGTGTTTGAAATTAGATTTGTGGTTTTTTGAAATAGACTCTGATCATGCAAAAAAATGAAACTGACACATTCTTAAATAATTTCTAAACACAGTTTTTTTCTGATCTTAAAATAAAAACATTCCTTTTACTTCAAAGCCAATTCTTCACGAAGATATTATTTCAGTGACCATGAAAAGTACAAATCTCTAAATTGCTACTTCAAGGAATATCCTCAGTTAAGTATGTCAGAGGTAACCAAAATGTTTGCTTTCTCATGACTTCAGTTCATAGCTGGATTTTGCAGACAGTGGCTTGCCATTGACCTCAAAAGAAAGCTGTGCACAAAGACCTTGTATTGCCCGTGGCATGGGTTTTACTTTTAATGAGTTCAATTTAAATCTTCGAACAAGTCCAGGGGATCTCCAGGTATCTAGAACCGTAATATCATCGAGCAGATTAAGCTGCTAATCTGATTGCAGAATTCTCTGACAGTCAACCAAAAAGCAAAACGAACAAATTATTTTGCACTTCTTATAGGTTTTACAGAGTGAAATAAGGATCAGGGTGTACATTTTGGAAGCTGAAATATCCTTCAGAATAACTTTTTAAAAAACTATATATCTATGGATGGCATGGTGGCTCAGTAGCTAGCACTGTTGCCTCAGAGCACCAGGATTCAATTCCACCCTTGGGTGACTGTGTGGAGTTTTTACGTTCTCCCCGTGTCTGCGTGGGTTGCCTCCCACAGGCCAAAGGTAAGCAGGTTAAGCGGATTAGCCATGGGAAATGCAGAGTTACAGGGATAGGGTAGGTCAGGGTGAGATGCTCCTCAGACTCAATGGGCCAAATGGCTTGCTTCCACAATGTAGAGATTCGATGATTCTATGGAAGTATCATAATGGAAAAAATTGACATTACACAACTAATATTTGCTTTCAAGGACCGGGGGGGGGGGGGGGGGGGGGGGTGGGTGGGTATTAGTGTAGGTATGGCTTATGACACCACTAAAATCTCAATTATACCCTATTAGGAGACATAATTTTTCATACGTTCTTAAGAATGATATTACAAGATAAAAGGGGCGGTTTTCATTACTTAATGAATTTTGAAGAGAGCTCTCTGCAAGAACTTTAGCAGAGGATGTTGTACAGGTGCAAGGAAGACACAGGCAACTTGTGGATTTCTGCATTTAACTGTGCATGTGCAGATACCAGAAGTTGTTGCTAGTTTCACACGGTAATGACACCTAACATGCATAGTTTTGCTGTCATCTTAACTGCAAGATCGAGGCTGACTATTCGAAAGTAACTTCATATAGTTAAAGTGAAAGTTTACCTATTGGATGGCGGTGGTTGCTGAACTTGAGGCCCACGACTTGCCTGGGTGGCTAATGGTTTACTTAAGCCCAACATGTCCTATTAACAAAATTAACAATGCAAATTAAAGCCTTTAAACATATTAAATCAACTCAAACCTTCTAATTGATTAAAGATTTAACAGCATCTTAATTTTGTTTAAAATATCTTCAGCAGTTGTGACCCTTTGATCTCTTACTTATAAATTCTATGTTCTGCGTGCTTCTTTCTCACTTCACCTGACGAAGGGGCTACGCTCCAAAAGCATGTGTTTTTAAATAAACCTGTAGGACGATAACCTGATGTCATGTGATTTCTGACCTTGTTCACCCTAGTCCAACACCGGCACCCCCACATCATCTAAACATGCAACCAGATCTATTGTCCATTCCTCTACTCAACCAAAATTGTTTACAGTAGTGTAAAACTTGTGTTCTTTTATTAAAGAACATGGAAAGCCTTGTGTGACAAGCCACCACAGTAACTAAAAGCAAAACATAAGCTTAAGTTTACACGATGAAATCTGATTTCTCCAATATTATCATTAGCTGGAATCACTTCACAGAGCAGAATTCACTGAATTTAAGAGGGGTCTGTGAATCTTTAAAGAAACAAACACTTGGAGATACTGGACATAAACGGGAGCATCGTTTTAAAGCATAATACGCAAAGTGGAATTTCAAAATGGATTTAAAATGCTACTAAGACTTTTCTGGGAGTAGAAAACCTAAGTAGATTATTTGCAAGCTTTGATGAAGGCTACACTGAAATAGCTGGCAATTGAAGGTAAAAATAAAGGCAAAACTTGTAAGGATGAGAATGCAACAAAATCATGATGATGAATTAATTCCAAAATACATATTCCAGCAAACCTCAAGACTAATTTAGGTGAGCATAAAATATCTAAGATTCAAAAAGCAGCAGTATTGGCAGGTATCTATGATTTATGTCTCCCACAGTTACGTATGGTGAATTGGATACATTGGAATTATGAAGGAAACTGGAAAATCTGGGGATGTAAAGATATTAATTTTAGGGAGCAAACAGACTGATTCCAAAATAATAAAGGAAAATGTTTAGAACCGAGACATAGAAAGATAATAATGATAATAATAAGAGAAAGGGTTGAATGTGAAAGTGATATGAAGAAAATAAGATTTCATGGTACTAAGACTTGACATAATAAAGCCAATTATTGCAAGTTAAAATAGGAGACTGGTTGTAGGAATAGGAATGCCTAAGGAATCTTCAGAAAAGGTGCATCAGGAAAAGAAACAGTTATTGAAAATAGAGCTGAAAATCAAGTGGAGTAGTTCCAAGAATCTACAAGAAAGGGAGAGATGATTCAGGTCAGTCAAGAAAGTTTTCTCATTTACTGACTGAGAGAATCAGACCATTGAAGGTATGAATATTTTGTTTCAAAAGTGGAAATGTTTGTTTATGTTTCTAACCAAGAAGGTAAACCAATATGATATTAGGAGACAACAGAGCAAGTCACTCAGTTATGCTGTTATATAATGCAGCTTCCAGAGGGGTCAGTGATGAAAATATTAATTGGAGATCTACATTAAGATTACAAATATATCCCACTATATTGAGTTGGATTAAAGTGTGACTTAGTAAATGGAGAGGTTCTAACTGAAGCAGTGTACAAATCATTCCAGAAGGAACTGATTTTATTCTGGAGAATAACCTAACTGGTTCCAAAATACTTGCCTCAAAAAAGGCTGGTGGGGACAATCAGTAGAAAAAGGAGCAGCACAATGTAGCAAAAGAAACATAGAGATGCTGCAGGAGAAACATCCTGGATTGTTTTCTGACTGTTGCAACTAGATCTCAGGCCTGTAGAATTAGACAGGAAGAGGAAGAGGTCTATATCTGAAAGGTACATTCTATGCATATTCAGTTGACTGACTCAATTTTTGAAAATTTAAATAAAAGGGATGAAGGTAAAGAAAAGGAGACTGACATGTTTCATCCATCTTCAATAACAGAAAAACAAACAATTGATCCTGGTTTGAGAGAGTTGTACCAAACAGTACAGTCAGAAATTGAATCAGAACCAATACCTGCAAATTATTATTTAAAAGACAATATCAAAGAAGAATGGGAAGCAGTTCATCATTGTTAGTTCCAGCTAAGTATCATAACTTTTTTTAAGTGGCTCAAGAAATCCCAATAGCAGGAGACTTAATATTTGGAAAACACAGACGAAAATGCTAACATATTATTGGTCCAGGTTATGTAAAAGTATGGCCACATTTAGCTAAACATGCCACATATCTGGAGATGGGGAAAGTCCAATCATGAATTAAGCTTGCAACTATTCAAAGAATCATTTAGTATGGTCCAAATACATAGTGTAGGTCTCCTATGAGTAGGAAACAGTATCTTTTAAAAAGTATAGATAATTCGACAAGATTTTGTAGGATCATAGAATCCCTACGTAGTTAAGGAGGCCATTCGGTCAACTGAATCTGCACCAACACTCCGAGAACCATCCCACCCCAAACCCAGCACCCCACCCTCCCACATAACCCCACATTTACCATGGGCAATCCAATTAACCTTCATATCTTTGGACTGTAGGAGGAAACCGGTGCACCCAGCAGAAACCCTCACAGGCACGGGGAGGATGTGTGAACTCCACACAGACAGTTGGCCAAGGCTGAATCAAACCTGAGTCCTTGATGCTGAGAGACAGCAGTACTAACCACTGAACTACCCTGTTTGACTCAGTCGTTTCGCTACTGGAATAGGAGCAGAAGAGTTTCTTCATGATTGAACGGCCCTCTCCATGATCTATTCTGCTCAGCCCACAACAGTTTTGGGGAAAATTACAGCAAAGGGAGTAGTGAAAATGTTAGTCCATTTTTTAAAAAAATGAAATACGGATTACTCGAAGAAATGCAATCAGATTAAAATTCATATGTTGTCACAAAATATTTAAAGAAATAATGAATAGCTTGTGAATAAAGCAATTTACATCTTCCACTCATCATCCATAATCTCAATCAACATTGGAAAGTTGACATCAAACTTTCATGGCCAGGATGTGGAGGTGCCAGTGTTGGACTTGGGTGTACAAAGTCAGAAATCAGATGACACCAGGTTGTAGTCCAAAAGGTTTATTTGAAATCACAAGCTTTTGAAGCGCTGTCCCTTTGCCAGGTGAAGAGAATACACTCAGGCAGGGAGATCAAAAGATCATAGAAATGGCGTGAGTGGAGTATTGACAGGTCAAATAAGAAGTCTTTGCAGGTGATCAAGAATGTCAAGAGTGTGAGCAAGGCGTTAACAGCTCAATAACAATTGAATGGATGACCTATAATCTGATTAATTAAGGCAGAGCTCTAGGAATTCTTCCATAAACCCCAAGATGTCAGCAGCAAGCCCAACAAGACAATCAACAAACCAGAACAGTCGACAGAGAGATCTGCAGTGCAGCGACCAAAGAAGAAAGATTGGACCCCTCTCTGGAAGGCCGCTGCCTTAGGCTTGACATGTACACTCAAGCCGTCAGGAGATGCGTTAACATCAGATTCATCAGCCGCTCTCATAAGGTAACACGAATGTCACCCAAACACCATCCATGCTCTCAAGACCAAATGCAAAAGCATCATCAAACCAACAGTCAAAGGGGGAGCCATCGTCATACATAATAGAACAAACTACTGCAAAGAAGCATACCGACAACTGAACAACCAGGAACACTACAGACAACTACTTGCTAATCCGACCAAAGAACATACCTGTCAACTCAACAGACTAAACAAGACCTTTGATCCAGACCTTCAGAGACTCCAATGTACTCTCATCTCACGTATTTCTCACATAGGAGACATCTACTGCCTTCCGAAGATACACAAAGACAACACACCTGGACGTCCCATCATATCAGGCAATGGTACGCTGTGAGAGAACCTCTTTGGCTATGTCGAGGGCATCTTGAAACCCATTGTACAAGCAACCCCCAACTTCTGTTGCATTACTACAAATTTCTTACAGAAAGCACCCATGGATCAGTTGAACCACAAACATTCCTCGTCACAATGGACATTTTGGCAACCCACACCAGCGTCTCCCACGACGACAGCATCGCTGCAACAGCCTCAGTACTCAACAACTGTCAATTTCAAGACGCCATCTTACAACTCATTCACTTCATCCTCAACTACAACGTCTTCACCACTGACAACCAGCTCTTCATCCAGACACATGGAACAGCCACGGGGACCAAATTTGTACCCAATATGCCAACATTTTCATGCACAAGCTGGAACAAGACTTCTTTGCTGCACAGGACCTCCAACCAATGCTATACACCAGATACATGGATGACATTTTCTTCATTTGGACCCATGGTGAGGAATCCCTGAAATGACTACAAAACGATGTCAACATGTTTAATTCCACCGTCAGACTCAACCATGGATTACTCTTCGGAATCGGTCTCATTCTTGGACACACGCATCTCCATGAGGATGGACACCTCAGCACCTCACTCTACCGCAAGCCCACAGATAACCTCACAATGCTTCACTTCTCTAGCTTCCACCCTAAACATGTTAAAGAAGCCATCCCCTATGGACAAGCCCTGCATATACACAGGATCTGCTCAGATGAAGAGGAATGCGATGGACACCTAAAGATGTTGAAAGATGCCCTCATAAGAACAATGCCCAACTCATCGATCACGAATTCCGACGTGCCACAGCAAAAAAAAATTGCAAAGTCCTCCTCAGAAGACAGACACAGGACACGACCAAGAGACTACCATTCATCATCCAGTATTTCACCAGAGTGGAGAAACTACGCCATGTTCTTCACAGCCTTCAACATGTTATCAATGACGAACATCTCGCCAAGATCATCCTCATGCCTCCACTTCTTGCCTTAAAACAACCCCCAAAAACCCCCTTAAACAGACCATCGTTCACAGCAAACTACCCAGCCTTCAGAACAACATCGATCACAACACCATACAACCCTACCATGGCAACCTCTGCAAGACATGCTAGATCATCAACATAAATACTACCATCACTCACGGGAACACCATCCATCATGTACACGGCAGATATTCATGTGACTTGGCCAATGTTATCTACCTCTTACGCTGCAGGCAAAGATGCCCTGAGGCATGGTATTTTGGTGAGACCATTCAGATGCTACGACAATGCATCCATTGACAATGGACACCATGCAACAATCACCAGACAGGAATGTTCCCTTCCAGTCGGGTAACGCTTCAGCAGACAAGCACATTCAGCCTCTGATCTTTGGGTATGTGTCCTCCAAGGCAGCGTTTGAGATACACTTCAATGCAGAACCACCCAGCAGAAACTGACAGCCAAGTTCCATACCCATGAAGACAGCCTCAACTGCGATTTTGGGTTCATGTTGCACTACATGTAACCCCACCATACTGTTCTGTATTTGTAAAATTTTCCTTTCTGTCCTTGTTTTGACAACATCACCTTGATAATTTGTTATGTTCTCTCTACCTTAACTAGTTTGTACCGTTTTGGATTACTTACTACTTTGGTTAGACCCTCGGCATGCGACTCTTGAACTGGTCATACTATTCCAGTCACTTGATTTGTCTCCAGCACCACCTTATTTTTAATTTTTTGTAATTATCTCTCTGCCCTAATTATTTGGATTATAGGTCATCCCTTCATTTGTTATTCAACTGTTAACACTTTACTCATACCATCTGACACTCTTGATCACCCGCAGTGACTTGTTATTCGACCTTGTCGACACTCCATTCACACCATTTGTATGATCGTTTGATCTCTCCAATTATAAATTCTGTGCCTGTATGTCTTCTCTTCACTTAATCGGATGAATGGGCAGCACTCCGAAAGCTTTAGATTTCAAATAAACCTATTGGACTATAACCTGGTGTCCTGTGACTTCTGAATTTAAAGGCCATGATTAGAACTTCATATCAGGAATGTCCTGATGAATGCAAGAAAGGAATTTCCAATTTACTATTTGCCATTAAGGATGACCCTAATGAGTCCACTGGATTCAGTATTTTTGAACTAACGTATATGAGATGAGGGGACCCCTTAAATGGCTTAAAATATTTGTAAGCCAAAGCTCAGAGCCAGTTTCAACTTGTATGTCAAGTTTCAGACAGATACTAACCAATGCCTATGAGTTGGCTCAAAGTGCTTTTCAAAAGTGCTCAACAGAATAAAATTTAAAACAGATAAAAAGACCAACATACTTCCATTATATCCATTGTTAAGATACACTAAAGTACGTCTGAATTGCTAATTTCAAAATAAAGCTTGACACTTAACGCGAAAGCTTCTTTTCAATATATAAAGGAAAATAATTCAAAGTCAATTGCACATATCATGAATAATATTACTTACCTGAAGTTGTTTTGCTGTTAGGTCTTTTGTGCCTCTGAAGACATAGCTCTTGGAAATACCCTCACAACCAAGCTCATGAACCTGCACCATTCTGCCAAATGTAATGAGACCAACCAAAGCTGTGGGTGGCAAAAGGCTCAAGGACATTTGCATAGATTCTTTTAAGGCCTGCAGATCTTCATCCTCCATGCAAGTATCCACAACATAAAGGAAGATTAAAGGCATTTGAGGGCCTCGCTGTGAAAAAAACAACAAAAAAAAATCAAACATTCTTCAATAATGCACATTTTCTAAAACATCTTATTTGCATTATTCACTTTGGTAACTGTATGCATACCAATGTACAAAAAAGTCAAAAAGCTGTGGACACCTAGGCAACAACTTATATTGAATTACTGTATTCAGAACATTTTCTTTCTGAAACAAGATTCTCTTCAGTATTGCCTAGATTCAAGTTTGGAATCCCAAATGAACTCTGCCAATTCGGAGTGGTCATCATTGTAATTAATTCTGCAACTGATCTTGAAATTTCTACACCATGAATAATTAAAATCCTTTTCTCAAAGCTGAATTTTTAAAGGTTAAATTCATACGATATATGCATCACTTGGCTAGGTTAGCATTTATTGCCCATTCCGCTGAGCAAATTTCTTGAAACACTGTAGTCCTTGGGATGTAGCTCCCTTCTGCTGGCAGGAAGGGAGTTCAAGAATTTTGACCCAGTGACACTGAAGGAATAGTGATGTGTGACTTGGAGGGAACCTTGCAGGTAATAGTGTTCCACATATCTGCTGGCCTTGTCCTGCTAGGTGATAACTTCCTGATCACAAAGGCCAACAAGCTGTTGTTTTGTTCAAATACACAGAATGGTTTGAGGCAAATATCCCCAAAGAGAATCCAGGTCATAGTGAGTGGAAAAGACATGGGGGTGACGGAAATCGCAGGCTTGGAAGGTGCTGTCAGAGGCACTTTGGTGAGTAAGTGGAATGCATCTTCTAGACGGTACATACAACGGCCGCATTGGTGGTGAAGGGAGTGATGGTGATGGTGGTGTTTGGGGTACTAATCAAGCAGAGGAAACCAAGATGGATTATCCACTCAGCACTTCATCCTTTTCTTTTGCATTAATGCGCTGGAACAATTAATGTGGCAGGACTGAAGAGTTCAGATCTGATATGTTGGTTCAAGGACCACCTACCTTTATGCAGCTTCTATGGCTTTTTATGCATCTGCACCTGTGTTCTAGTTTCAGCAATTTGACATCTTGTTTTTGGCTACTGAAGGCTCCTGCATTCTTTATTAAAATCTCCCAGCTTGATGGTAATATTACAAAAGGTAAAATGCCAAGCCATGAGGTTATATGTGGTTGAACACAAAAACTGTGGCTGCTGATGGCCCAGTGCCTCGCGCTTACCTAGGTTTGATTGCTAGATCCATTTGAAATCTGTCCCATTTATCATCGCGATATTGCCACTCAAAAAGAGGGGGGTGGTTATAATGAATTTGTAGATGGGACTTGCTCTCCGCAAAGGACTGTGCAATCGTTACATCCACCAACACTGTCATACATCTGCAACAGTTAGATTGGTGAAGATGAGGTCAAATAGCACTTTTTCCCCTCTTGTTGATCTGCGTCAAAAAAACATTCTCCAGGCATTTACATGGCTTCAATTTCAATGAAATCAAGAGGTTTCTCAAACTTCTTTGTCTTTACTTGAGGTCAGCAACTGAAATTCAGTCACTGAAGTTTTGGTTTTTACTTTATTGGGTTTACACATCATGTTGGTATTTGCTATAGTATTTTATGACAGTTCCTCTTACTGTTTCTCTGAAATATTTTTCCTTCTTTATTTTGCAGGTTATTTCTTTTACCTACTTAGATTATTCAGTCTCTTCTTTGATTCTCTCCATACTGGCATTGAACAGCTGCTAATGACAACAATATGCCTTTTCACTGTCTAGTCAATTTTAACAGCTTTTGACTGGGGAGAACCAAATTTCATTCCTATATAACAGACATGAAACTTTCAACTGCAGACATCAAAATCACCTGCCCGAGGCAGCAGGTTTCTTTTTGATGATACAGAGCTACTATTCTTCTTAAAACCTGATTTTTTTTTTTCCGTCAGGAGCAGGGCTTAGTGTTGACTCATGTGCCAGGAACAGCAAAATATATATTCTTTGCAGGCAACGTCATACAGGAATTTCCCTTTCGCTCAATTTCCATCACTGTCATGTCTTTTCCATCCACAATGACTGGGATTCTCCTTAGGGATATTTGCTTCGGACTATTCTCTGCATTTGAGCAAAGCAACAGCTTCTTGTCCTTTGTGATCAGGAAGTTAGCAAGTGACATTTAATGAGGTGTTGCTGTTAAAACTGGCTGAGGCTGCTTCCCACCTCTCCTGGACTATTTTATTTTCTAGACAGCAAAAGGAATAAAGTCCAAAGTGTAAATTACGCAGCAAATTGACCTGAACTGGATTACCTCAGACCACTTGTATAATGCTGGCATTGTAAAGTTCAATTACATTGAAGAAGATAAGACCTCTTAATAGTTCTGATTAAGCTATTCTAAACCACAAATCTATTCATAATCTCGGAAGGTGGGGCAAATAGAAGTGAAAGCAATACTTAAATCCATCATTAGAAAATAGAAATTAAGGTACAGCAGAACAAGTTTTTGGATTAATGAGATTTGTTTTATTTTTTCATTGGTATTTAATGTCAATCATTTGCTACCAGTACAATTATCAGAGGTCCTACTGAATAAACACTGGGTTCAACCATCTTACCTGGACTACATACTCAATTGTAGAAAACTGTGGTAAAAGTTCTGCGGGTTGGTTCATCTCAGATATCCCAGAATAGGAAGGAGGAAACTGTTTTGAAATGGAAAAAATTCATCAAAATAGGTATGTTAAAACCGCAGATTACTTTCTCTTTCAAACAAAATATTTCTTTCATTCTGAGTATTTGACACAGTGGAAGACACTATATTTTGCACTGCAAATAGGCAAGAGGATAAATTAGGAAGATGGACACACTGCTTAATGAGTGGTGAGGCACAGGCACCAGTACTGGGAGAGGAAGGGACTGCAGTACTGGGATGGATGCCACTTGAATTGGGCTGAGATGCAGGTCTTGGTAGTACAACTTCTTTAGCTGAGTAAGGGGATGGAAAGATGTGATTTGTGGACAGTAAAAGTTTAAGTGGAAAAGTTAGTATAAATATTTTGAAACCAAAAGGGGAAGAGAGTAACGTTTAAAAACTAGAAATTGCAACATAATTAAACTAGGAGAGAAGTATCAAAAAGAATTAAGTGGAATGACAGATTCTGGCACATGGGTGTTCTAAAGGTGCATGGAGCATAAGGAAAGAAATTGATGAAATACAGCTTCAACTTGAAGGTATGACATAGTAGCTATTGCTAAAACATGACAGATGGTTAGGACTGAAAATTAAACATATTAAGTTATAACAGGGAAAGGTAAAGAAAAAATGATAGAAATGTGAGGAGCAAGCTCAGTCATTAAAGATGAAACTGCACCTATACGAAAGTGAATGTAATGAGAGGCAAGTAGAATGTGGAAACTATGAGGACGGAAGCAAGAAAGAGATGATCATTTAAGAGTGTAGTGGCAGTTATACGTAGGCCCTTAGGAGTAGCTCTGAACTGGTAAACTGCACAATTCAAAAACTAGACAAGCATGTAACAAAGGCAGGTGGTTTTAATGAACAGTTTTAATTTTCATACAAATGAAGACGAGCAATTTAAAAGATAGTGAATCTGTTAAATCTGTCCCAAATAGTTTCCTGCTAGATGTGTCCTACAGTCAACAAGGAGACATTCCATTTTAGATTCCACAATGAGCCATATTTAGTTAACAGTCAAATGTTACGTAAATGTGGATGAATACTATGTCAGCCTTAGCTCAGTAGTACTTGGATTTTGGAGTCACAAGTACTCTTCCAGGGCATTCCAGTGCACTAATGTGGGAATACAGTACTGTTTCAGATGCAGTCTTACAAACGGGATATTAAACTGTGGTCCAACCCACCCTCTCAGGTCAGCATTAAAGATCCCAGAGTTCTACAATATTAAAAGAAATAGGCAAATTGGCTATTCATATTTCTTACATTACAATACTGACTACCCTTCAGTATATCAAAGCATCATCAGCTGTAGTATGTTTTGAGATATCTGGCAGTCGTGAAAACTGGTGTAAAAATACGGGACTTTTTTTTGAATAGCAATCATAACATGAGGAGTTTAATGTAATATTTGAAAAGGACAATGCAAAGAAGCAAAGATTTGAAATTTAGATAAGAATGACTTCAATGTGATGAGACAAGAAAGCAGCAAACTGTTATATCAATTCATGGGTTAACTAAAAGCTAACCAGTGGGAGGCGAACCACGGAAAGACTCCAATGTGGTACAGATCATAACAAATCTTCAGGACCAGATAGGTTCTGTTGAAGGGTTTTTAGGACATAGGTGCGAACAGTGCAAAAGCTTATATCCCTTCTAAAGTTCTCAATTTTGGGACCTTTCCTGTGGATTAGTGTTCTATTTCTACAAATTGTGAAATGAAAATGGGGAACTCTAGACGAGCTAGCCTAACATTTGTTGTCAGGAAATTACTAGAGTCTATAATTAAAGCTATAGTGACAAAACACTGAAATTTTCCAACTAAAGATGGATTTGTAAAGAGAATGCCATATCTGATGAATCCAAATTAATTTTGAAAAGACGTAACTAAAATTGGGAGTATCTAAAATGTAATATCATAAAGACTTCCAAAAGGCACTGGATAAGGGTCCTTGTAAGAGACTGGCCAAGTGCTAAGAGACAAGGTTGAGATATTGAGTCCTATCTGAAATTTATAGCATATGACTAATGGTATACCAAAAGGATGTGCATTGGGTTTTCAGCTATCATTGAATTCATTATCAATTATGATAATAAAATGGAAAGTCACATGTTCAGATTTGAAAATGACGCAAGATAAGATATTGTAAGGAATTTAGGCTGAAGCATAAAATAACCAAGATATTAATTGATGAAACGAATGGCAAAACTGTGGCAAAGAGACTTAAAGCTAACAAAATATGAGGTCTTCCAATCGTGAATTAAAGAAAGCAGAAGAAAGTAATTTCTAAATGGTGACAAGATAGAAACAGTGGAGGTCCAAAGAAACTGAGGACCTTTGAACAAAGATGATAAAATGTCATGAACAGGCACAGAAATTAAACAAAAATGTTTATGCCATACTGATTTTTACGTGTACAGGAAGAGAATACAAAGGGCAGATATCATGCTCACATTTCACAAAGCCCTAGTTAGATTACCGAGAGAGTACTTCTGGGCACAAAACCTTAAACAGAGCCTGTTAACCTTGGGATGAGTACATTATCCTATCAAAATGTAGTCAGATTTCCAACAGTTAAATTAAGAGAAATGATACAAACAAGATTTGTAATCCGAAGAATTTAAATGGTTGAAAAGTGATTTGATCCAATTCAAGAAATTAAGGAAAACCAATATTCAGAAACTACTGCCACTGATCAGCAAGTCTAGGACTAAATGGGCATAATATATAACATGAAGGCACATGTTTCAGGGGCAAGATTATGAAATGCCTTTATCAAAAAAGGTGATAAGAAGCAATGCTAGATCATTGTTAATTCTAAATCTGAGATGAAAAGATTTTTGTCAAAAATATTAAGGAGTAGGGTATAAAGGCAGGTAAATAGAGTTAGGGAGCAGATCATCTCTGATCTAGCTTAATAGCAGAACAGGGTCAAAGGGCTAAACAGAGTACGTCTGTTCCTATTCTCCAATACAAGAATTGAAATAATAAATGGTTATAAGACCACTGTTTTCAAGTAGTTAAGGACATTATGCGCTCAGTATGTTAGATTCATGTCACAAATACTTCAGATATATTCCTGTTCTAAAATTTCTGAACAGACACTGCTGCAAACTACCATGCTAACAATCATAACGACCAGCTTACCTGATTTCTCTGATAGCAGAAATTACAAGCCCACAGCTTTGCTTTGTAATCTACTTGGCTAAAAAAACAAACAACAGACAATTAGGGAGAAAAACACAAAGGCTTATTCTAGGATAGTGTAGGAACGTGTAACTTCCTCAATTTATCTTACAGCACATAAATAGAAATCAGTTACTCATATGGTACCAATTTTATTTTTTTTTTCTAAACATCTTAGTAGCCATCTTCAATTTTCTCTCCTTAAGGTAATGACTTGTATAGGGCATAGCTCTAAAAACAGGATCATAACAAACCTTGATCTTAATGTCAATTCTGCTGGTGTGAGCTAAAACAGGGAGTGTTAGAAAACCCATTTACCATGAGTCATCAAGTAACAACCATGCAATCAAACTTCCAACTCAAGTGGGACCAATTTCCACATTTTCACGTCCCAGAAGGAAAACACTTGCAAGGTTTAAGAGGACAAGCATGGCATCTTTCTGGACTATGTGAATCAGTGCCTCACCATGTTATCCATATCCCACATGTAGTCAGAAGTTCACCAGTAGCCATGTTTGGGTGCACTGTGTTTTTTTTTCATGCATTCATGGAATGTGAGCTTCCTTAGCGGAGCCAGCATTTATTGCTCATCTTAATTTCCCTCAAGAAACTATTACAATTCACTGGACTTTCAGACCCAAGCTGATAGAAAGAGTGGACAAGGTTTTGGCCCCAAATAAGAATTATTATTTATTAACAGTATTTAGACTTTAGCTACAGGTAAAGACTTATAAACTGTTGACATATAATCTTATTAATTAAAACTCCAATCACCTTAGAAACTCCCCCAAACACATACACACATACACACACAGCGTAAAACAGATTATGGGCAGAGGGGAAGACCTGGAAAAACAGTTCAGTAGTCTTTGTTAACAGGTATTGTTATTGAAATGATCCTTATGACTCTTCTGCTGGCCAGCACATTGCTTCAGTTGTCTTTCTCCAGGTGCTTCCACTGGTTAGCGAGACAGAGAAGGTGGCCGGTTCCCTTCTAAAAAGTTACTAACATATCAGCTAGAATCTACAGCATTTATAAACTTTTGCAGCAAAGGTAAACTGCTTCTCTTCAGGTTTACAATGCATTTTGACTGCCAAGAATAGGGAGACCACTCCTGAGCTGAGGAAAAATTGAACACTTCTCTCTCTAACGTGTTCCCTGCTCTAAACTGTTTAGCTAACTGACAGGCAGAAAAGTCTGTATCAGTGATATTTGGCCACTAGCCCATAGACCAATCGAGTTCTCGTTGCTAGCAAAAGCTGTGTCAGCACACCCCTTGGCTCCAAACTATCTGCAAACTGAATTTCAATTACTGTATGTTCAAATTATTGTTTACATAGTGATTGGCACATGCTTTCAAAACTGCAGCCACCCTTTTAAATACTGGTTGTTAAAATAACTCTTTCTTATTCCAATTTCCGGGTTTTAAAAACATCATATAAAAGGTGGTGATGAACTGTATTCCATTGATACTGAAGGAATGGTGATATTCTTACAAATCAGGACAGTAAGTAGCTTGGAATGAACTTGCAGCTGATGCTCCTATGCATCTGCCACCCTTGTCTTTCTGGAGGGTAATAGTCATGGATTTAGAAGTTGCTGAGTGAAGGTGCACATATGTACCTACGCACCACTGCTATTGAGTGTTGGTGGTGGAGGGAAAGGTGGTGGACTTAATACCAATCCAGGAGACTGCTTTGGTCCGCATGCTGCCAAGCTTCTTGAGTATTGAAGTTGTATTCATCCAGCTAAGTGGAGAGAATTCCATCACATATTGACTTGTGCCTTGTACATTGTGAACAAGCTTTAAGCAGTCAAAAGGAGAGTTACTCGCTGCAGAATTCCTCGCCTCTAATCTGCTCTTGTAGTCAGTTTCTGGTCAATGCTAACCCCAAAGATGTTGTTAGAGGGGGTTTCAACAATAGTACTAGCATTCACTGACAAGGGGTGATGGTTACGTTCACCCCTGGTGGAAGTGGTTGTTGCTGACACGTCTGATTTGAATGCTATTTTTCATTTGTCAGCCCAAGCCTGGATATTGTCCAGGTATTAACGGATTTGGACTCAGGCTGCTATGGCATCTGAAGAGTTGGTGCTCAACATTGTGAGATCCTCATTGAACCTCCTCACTTCTGCCCTTATGATGATGGAAAGTTCATTGATGAAGATGGTAGGGCCTAAGGCACTACCCTGAGGAATTCCTGCAGTGATGTTCTGGAGCTGAGATCACTGACCAACGACCAGAAGATTCAACCCTGGTGCTCAGTTTTGACTCTAATCAGCTGAGAATTTTCACCCTGATTCCTGCTCAATTTTCCTAGATTCCTTGATGTCATTCAGTCAAATGCAGCCTTGATATCAAGGGCAATTATCCTCACCTCTCCCTTTATTAATAGCAATACCCAGTTACTGCATCATAAGTTTACACACCTATACGTATTTACAAAAATATAGTCAAAAGGTACATATTCAAAACGTTCACTTGTCTTTGTCAAAAATGAGCTGGAAATATTGCAAATTCTGCAGATGCTTTATAGTAGCATCTCCAGAATTTGCAATATTCCCAGCTCATTTTTGTGTGAATTGCAAGGATGTTTAATATTATTTCACATTTTAAGTAGTACATTCCAATTTTTTGCATCAAAATGAAATCTGTAAAAATCTTAGAGAAAGTATATATTATCTCACAAAGTGCTGTTACTAATGCTGTACTGAGAGATATTAACTGGTCAATTTGTTTGAATCTCTAATACTGACTTACCATAATGGGTTTAAGACTGCACGGCAGGTTGCTCTACTGCAAAGCACAGGTTCATACTGAATTGGAGGCAAGTCAGGTCGCTCTTTTAATGGTGTAAACAAGGTACCCAGAGGAACAACCATTCGGGTTGCCTCCAAACGACTTGATGGCCAAACATTCCAGCTCAACCGAATTCCATCCCGATCTTCATTCTGCTGGATGAACTCCATAAAAGTTGCCATGGTGACTTCACAGTCTTAAATCTGTGAAAGAAAATAACCTTATTTTTAAAAAAGGTATCTAAATGAAATTACTGGTATAAACATTCTGGCTTCAAAAGAGACTAGTTGGAAAGCACTACTGTACTGTGAATCTTAATGAAGATTTACATTGTAAAATGCAAATTCTAATGGTGGCTTTTCTCCTGCAACATTTTAACTCATACTAATTAATGATTGAATAAGATTTTAAGCTAAGTAGCAAGAGCTCAATCTTGAGCAATAAGATGGAAAAGGTAGATGTGCAAGGCCAGAAAAGCGTTCAATCTTGAAGCAACATTGGACAAGAGCTTTGCTTGCCCTAAAACTCAGATTTATGATAAGCTGAAATTACTTAGGAGAGTTTGGTGCTAGTAGGAGTTCAGACTTATATGCTCTACATTTTTCATGGAGATACAAAGGAATGAAAAAAACCTTCAATGCGTAACATAAAATGTGGTTGTCATGGATTTTTCACGTGTCCAGGGATGAAAATTTCCATGAAATGGAATAAATTAACTATCCAGTAATGTAAAATATGTGTTAGCAACAATGGATTTACTTCTTTAAAAAGAAGTAAAATAGGCTTCTTGTTGCTATCATCCATTTTACACAATTACAAATTGAAGATGGATATTTCATGTTCTAAACATTGCGTCAACACAGGATCTCTGTGATTAAGCAATAATAAGCCAAATACTACAGCATTTGCTGAGGGTTTTCTTATCGCACAGTCCAGAATGTAGTCACCCAATGGTTCACAACAAAGATATAGCATAAGGAAAGATGTGAGTGCTCATTCAAATGTGCAGAGACCTTCGAGTAACTTGAACCATCCAAAGGATACTCTGTATCAAACAAACATGGTGGTACATAGTGGTTAATTGTATATGTATTTATTTTGTTGGATTTTGATGGTGAGCATTAATTAGGGGTTTCCTTCAGCTTCTATAAATGGGCATATACTGGAACTGGAGTTTGAGTTTAGGAAATGCATATTTGTGCTGTGCACTTCTACAAACAAATTCTTCTAAGTATGCTAAGACTGACTGCTGTTCTATCCTACAATCACCAGGATTTATGAAGCTTAACAAAAGGAATATTACTAAGGGCCAGTCTCTTCTGAGCCAAGGCTCTTATTGATGGTGACAGAAAGATGCAGATTACTGGAATAGGACAGTGGTAGATTGTGCTCTAAAGTTAGTGGTATAGATGGCCTTTGTTGCAATTGTTCCTGGCAGTTAGAATGATAAATTGACTTCTGGATGCCAGGGTGAAATACATCATTGGTAGGAAGAAAAGTTTTACTGAAATTAAGTGGCACCAACGTCCTTACAGGGGCCATAAACATCTTGAAAAAACTGTGGAAGAAGATCAAGACTAATAAAGCAAGGAAATGCTAAAAGTATGGGTCTGAGATTATTATTAATGAAGTTATTAAGATAAAAGCACAGCAACTAACAGTTATAATGAGAGAACACCAGAGAAAATCTGATCCAACTATCTGATTGGAGGAAAAAAGCAATTATACATTCTGCTTAATGTCAGTACTGGGTCAACAAGAATTTTGCACAAGGGCATCATAAGTCAGCAGTTAGATTTTAGCCCAATCCCCAGCAAAGATTTGATCTTGGATTCTCTCAAGAGAAATGATCTAATTGATAAGGAATTTTAGCAAACGTTTCAAGTGCTTACATAATCAAAAATATAGCATCCAACTTACAAAATGCATAAATCATGTTCTGTAAATATCAAATTATTGAAAAGAATCAAAAAATGTTGATTTTTATTTTACTATTTCCAGTAATATTCCTTCCATTTACACTAATGCATCTCAAGTTACCAAAACATTGTAGATTTTCGATTCTATCCGAAAAGCTGGATAACACTATTCAATCAATTGAAGTTGCATGTTGAGTTGGCATTACACAGTGGCTCAGTGGTTAGCACGGTTGCCTCACAGTGCCAGGGACCCGGGTTCAATTCCAGCCTCGGGCGACTGTCTGTGTAGAGTTTGCACATTCTCCCCGTGTCTGCGTAGGTTTCCTCCGGGTGCTCCGGTTTTCTCCCACAGTCCAAAAGATGTGCAGGTTAGGTGAATTGGCCATGCTAAATTGCCTGTAGGGATGTGTAGATTAGGTGGGATGAATCTGGGTGGGACACTCTGAGGTTCAGTGTGGACTTGTTGGGCCAAAGGGCCTGTTTCCACACTGTAGGGACTCTATGATCTTCTACATGAACTCAGACTTTGTTACCCTTCACAAGAAATTAAAGATATCAGAAATTCATTCAGCTCTGTTCATTGGGTGAATGAGATAATTAGACAGTGGAAATTAGTTTTTGGATTCTCTTATAAAGTGAACAATCTCCTTTTTCCAAATACACCAATCAAAATTATGGACAGGCATCAGCCACACTCCGCCAACATAACTGTGAAGAACCGTAAATTAGCATCTTATGTAATACAGTATTATCAAAATCTGAGGAAGGGTCACCAGACCCGAAACGTTAACTCTGTTTTTTCCTTCACAGATGCTGCCAGACCTGCTGAGCTTTTCCAGCAATTTTGTTTTTGTTCTTGATTTACAGCAGCTGCAGTTCTTTCAGTTTTTATTATCAAAATCAAAGTGGAAACTTTACTGATCGGCTTCATCTGTAGTTGGGTCACAATGGGGAAAAGAATTCTTTATACTATGCTGTTCAGCAGACTAATTGATACATATTCACCAGTGGACCAAAAAAAATACAGATCTAAGAGTATTTTCCAATTTGATCAAATGCATTCTCTTTATTCCAGAGGTTGGTTGCAAAATATCACCACAATAAATGCATAAATTTTATACGTATATAATGAAAGAACATAATCACGCAAACTTTAAAATGGAGACACTTATTTAAAATGTAACATAAATGTTACTAGAAAAATTTGCATGCATATTGATCGGCACAACTTCATGTGAAACTAATTCATTTGAAGTGTAGTGATTGTAATGGCAGTTTGCAGTAGTGATTCTGTGATCTGTAGATTTTCAAAAACAGCAATGAACATTTGTTCATTTCCTTATCATACTGATGGGGGGAACAATGTTATTGTGAACACCACAGAAGTTCCCCATTCTTCACATCCTACAATCTTCGATAATTCACTTGAACTGTTGGAAGAAGCAGCTGTGCCTTGGATTAATAGGAATAATAGAACGCTTCATGGTTCAAACATTTAATTAAAACTTTTGCCCATCCTGCTAATTTATGTCTCCCTATGAGCTATCACAATGCTGACTGCAGTTCGCCACTGCAATTCAGTACTTTTTAAATCGGCTGGCTCAAATATGTAATGACACAGCACCATGGTGGGTGGGATTTGAACACAGACATTCAGGCCCAGAGGTGGGACACTACTACTGCATCACAATAGCCCTGCAGTTCAGTTATCAGTAACTTCCAGCATTGCACCTAAGCTCTCATTTCCAAATTTAATAATGAAGAACAGCCTAAAAACAGATGCCATGCATTTTAGTCAGAGCTACCATCCATGGCACAGGCCTTAAAATTGTCACTCTAGTCACGTGACTATATCACCCTCAACTCTACATGCTTTTGTCTTTACGGTTGTAAAGAAACTCCTAAGCTATAAAGAACAAAAACAGAAGTTGCTGGAAAAGCTCAGCAGGTCTGGAAGCATCTGTGAAGAAAAAAATCAGAGTGAACGTTTCAGATCCAGTGACCCTTCTCGGAACTGATGGTAGCTAGGAAAAAGTCATTTTATGTGCAGAAGATAGGGAGGGGAGGGGGTAGGGGCAGCCTCAACTCAAAATAGCCCTTGAACAGCAAAATACTGTGAAACTTTGAAATAACACAGTATGTTGGAGAAACTCCAGATGCTACCAGACCTGCTGAGCTTTTGCAGCATTCTGTGCTTATTTCAAAATAGCCTTCCCTGTCTACAGTTCCTGTATATGACAAACTCTGTCTCACTCACTAATCTCTCCTTTTATCTGACATAGACCTGCACTATTTAACTATGACAAGTAAATCTTCAAAACACTTCACAAGACTGTCAGCAATGTCTTGTTTTCTTGCAGGAAAAGGTAGTGCAAAATCACGGAATAATCAGTGAAGTTCAAACTTGCCTAAACACCCTCTTCAAGCCAAAGGAAGAAATGTTAGGCATGTGGGTAGTAGTAGCGTTAAAGCCATGGTGACTGGTAAAAGTTGGAGGAGGCTTAGTGCAGAGTTTCTTCACACCTTCATTGACAAACTCAAATGGCCAGTGAATGGTGGCAAACAGTGGATTGTATAAATTTTAAAAAGGCCTGTAATGTTGCTAGAAATAGCAGCAATTCTGAGGATTGGAAGGTTTATTCAACACAAAGGAGGACCAAGAAACTGATAAAGAAAGTGAGAATACAATATAAATGCAATCTAGGAAAAAAAGCATAAAAGTGGACTCTAAAAGTAGTGAACAAAGAGACATAGGTGTGCTCATTAATAAGCCACTTAGGGCAAATATGTATATATAACAAGCTATCAGGAAGGCTGAAATATCAGCCTATATTGCAAGAGGATCCGAGTACAGAAATACTGAAGTCTTGCTTCGATTGTCTACAGGTTTGGTTAGACTGTATTCAGAGTACAGTATGCAATTTTGATGGACTTATCTCAGGAAAGATATTGTCATAGAGGTAGTGCGGTGAAAGTTCACCGGTCCTGCTTCCGGGTGGCAGGACTGTCCAATGGAGAGAGACTGGGCAAACCGGGCCTGTATTCAGTAGAGTTTTACAGAATGAGAGGTGATCTCATTGTAACTTACAAAATACTTTAAGGGATAGAACAAGGTAGATGTAGTTAACATGTTTCCCCTGGTTGGGGAGTTTAGAATTAGGGGGTACAATTTAAAAATAAGGGAGATACCAATTAGGTCCAAGATGAGAAGTAATATTTTTACTCAGAGGGTTGTGAACCTGTGGAATTCCTTACCCTTTGGAGGCTTAGTCTTTGAGCATGTTTAAGGTAGAAATTGACATATCTCTGATTATCAATGGTGTGCAGAGTTACACTGATGGCATGAGTAAAAGGTATTAAAGTGCTTCATCAGCCATGATCGTACTGAATAGTAGGTAAAGCTCAAAGGACTGAATAGCCCACTCATGTTCCTATGCATAAAATTATTGGTGGAAGACTAAACAGCGTTGTGGAGCAGGTGTTTAAAACAATAGTCAGGGGTGAGGAAGATGGGGAGATGAGGAAGGAACTGACAGCAAGAACAATAATTGCAGAAAGGCTAAAAGGGTAAAACAGAAAGTTACAAACAATTTATAACAAGCAGTAGGGAGAAAAAAAGATCTGCAAAGAGAAGAAATTTGAGTTAGAAATGCACAAAGAGCTGAGATTAAAATTGATGAACTACACTAAGATAGCGATGTAATATACAAACATTGACAGAGAGATTATTTAACAGAAATGTTGCTTCAGCTAAAGCACGACTGTAAGCTACATATTCCTAGTTACAAAAAAGTATTAGATCATAAAAAAGGCGAAATGTGGTGACATGATTAATAAAATATTTAATCACATGGATGATCATGGGGATAATTCAAAAGTTCAACTTTGCATGGAATTTAGAATGAAAGCAACGGAAAGAAAATAGTGGAAGAGGTGCATAAAAACAGCAAGAATACTTCAAAAATGAATGATTTTCGTTATTCAGAGATAGGGAAAAATAACGAGTAGTAAAGATACAGTCAATTTAGTACAGGTGTGTCTTTACGATGTAACTGAGATTGCTTTATGCCTGTGCTTATGTTTTTTCCAAAAAGTGCCAGATCCAGTTATCAAAAATTAAGAAAGGGCAAGTAGGCAAAGCAAAATGTAGAAAACACTTAACAAGTTTAACTATAATGAAATTACATTTCATATAAAAGCTGAAAAAATGATTATGAAATAAACAGAAACTGAGATAAACTAGACAGAAAATTTAGTGGATATGGACAATGGATAAGCAAGAGATGATATAGGTACAAGCTCCACAAGGTACAAAGAGTTGCAAGAGCTGGAGTCCTTTAAAAGAGGAAAGAAATTCAAATAAGAGTCAAGATAAAAGCTAGTCAAGAAAATCAACTATAGCATAACAATATAGAAAAGCAAAAAGGGAAATTAGAAGAGCTAAGGCAGTTGTTGAAGGAGGGTCTGCAGGTAGTAAAAAAGAACATAAAAACAAAGGCCTGGGGTAATTAAATATTAAGTAGAAACCTATTCAGAGACAGATACTAAATCAAAGCATTTCAAGAGTTTTCAACAGGGATGTAGTTAAATAAGTTCCAGAATACAAAATTTACAAAACAATATTGCCCTAATACTAGTGCACAACAGGACGTATTAAAATTATATTGATTTATGTTAGCAAATTTTAAAACGACTTGCTCAGTTACATCCCAATAATAATTGTATAAAAAGATCTTGGTGCTGTTTTGAAGTATTTCAGCAAAAAACATGTTTGTTAGCAATTGAAACCGCTACTTCTCCAAGGACTTCAAATGGAAACACAATGTTAAACAAATGTAGCCCTTTCGGGAATATTCTGTCTACATTTGCTTTAGCCCAGTGATGCTTCTTTTGCAACATCTGCCTTGTCCTTGCCACTATCCAAAGACTTAACACGGATTCTTGGTAAAACAGGTATTTGTGTATATTTCTTTCATTTCAGTACTATTGGCCTCAACTAAAGTCAGGGTTGCGTTCTTGAAAATTGTGACTTTTAACTTAAACATTAAAAAATGACTGATGTTCTACTGAGCCTTTTTTTGCAGAGAACAAAATTGAAACATTATACCTGTACTCTTCTAAACTGAAGTGTAGTGTCATTTTAAGTTGCTGAAATTGTCCAACATTGTTAAATAAAAATCTTAAAATGAACTGAAAAATATTTTTAAAATTACTACTTCTATAGCACTGATGATTGACCAGGCTCATCCAGCGGCAGCTGGTCAGCACAGTGGTACTCACAGGATTACCTGCACTAACCAACCTCTGCCATAAATGGACCTCAGGACCTCAGTTTAAATTCAGGAGGGAACCAAGGACCCAGGATCAGAACTAGCAGTGAAAACCTGACCTTCAACTGAAATCAAGGACCTGTTTAACTTTAAATTACGGCATCAGTCAAAAATCCCAGATAACATGCAAATCATGTAGATTTCTCATATTCCCACAGATACTGGAGCAACCAATAGATCATAGGCTACTCCAGAAAAACCCACGTACCTAAGACAGTTTTGTGGTGAAGAACAGAGGAACTTCGTACATAATCTCCTACAGCCCTTGCATATATAAACAACACCTTACATACATTTACAAACCCACACACTAGTGATATCAGACATCTCACCAACATCTGACACAAACCACCTTCTCAGTCCCTCCCTACTCCACCAGCCCAATGACAACAGACACACAGGCAATCCAGTGATGCTGGGCATCTCACCAATCCTAATGACAAAATTCCAGGGGCATCAAGCACCATAGACCCTTTTCTCCAACTCCAAACCCCACACCCACCTTCAGCCCAGTGACCAGGTACCTCAAACCCCTCCTGTCCACCCAAACCCAGTGTCATTGGCACCTCACGCTCTCCTGTGCCTGCCCAATCCATCACACGCTCCTCGGACATTGACTCCGAGCAACTTACACTGTCTATTCACATCCATTCCCACAAACACACCCCCCGCCCCAATCAACCTACCCGACTCCCCGAGGCCAGTATCATGGAATGCGGGGTGGGTGTAAAGTACCCAGTGTCTCTGGCCTCACTGCGGTGGGAAGATGTGAGGTGCCCAATGACACCGGGCACCTCAAACCCCTACCCGCGAGCCCAATGACACCCCCAACCTTAAGAGTTCAGTGATACCAGGCATCGTTCACCCTCCACCAACTGCCCAGTAACAGAGCACACTTCAAACCCTCCCGTGTCCCCCGATCTCAGTGACACAAGGCACCTCTCACCCTGCACTCAGGGATCCAGTATTAGCAGGCACCTCACAACCGGGAGCCCAGTGAAACTGAGCAGCTCACGCACAGAACCAAACCGCTACGGGATCCGGAGTGTAACTCTAAGTGCAGCATGACCCCACCACCATGGTCTAAGTTCGGTGCCGGTTATGGCAACAACAGCCACTCACCACAAGAAGGCCTGTCACAGCCTCCGGCCTCAGGCACTGCAGTTACCAGCTCCGTACGCACAGCTGACGCGGTCAATATGGCAGATTCTGCCACGTAGCGACAGGAGGAGTCTCCGGCCCAGTGGGGGGCGTGGCCAGGGCGCGGGGCGGCGGGTCAGAGGGCGGGGCCTAGCGCCGTGGGTGGAGCACCTGGTGGGGGCGGGGCTTGGGTGGGGAGAAGGTGGGGCTACTGCGCAGGGCAATGGCTGAGGGAAGGGGAGGACCAGAGGAAGGTGAGGCCAAACAGCGGGCGGAGACAGGACTGGAGGTGGGAATGAATAAGCGAATGCCTCATGATACCACCCAGACTCAACTTCGTTAGGAACCAGTGTGTCACAGTATGCGGAGCACATGCACCGACGATCAATGCAGCAGGTGAGCACAAGAAGGAATTCTACTCCAGCCTTGACCGATCTCTCTCACTGGTCTCTGAAGCGGGCAAACCAATCGTTATTGATGACTCCAAGACCAGAGTCCGCAAAAGTACATACTTTGGGGCGATGTAATTAGAAAAGAGAGAGTAGCAAAGCAAAACTCAATGGCACCTGTCTGTGGCTGAGGAACTCCTCCTGGAATTGCAGTGTGGCATTCAGCCACAGAGGGGCACAACAGATGTGATTGTTGCTGCAGGAGAAATGCAGAGAAACGAACCTACCCCTGTACAGGGCTTCTTCAATCTTACAAAGGCCTTTGACACTGTCAATGAGGAAGCATAATAGAGTGCCCTTCTCTGCTTTGATTGTACCACAAAATTTTATCATCATCCTTCGCCTGCACCGCAAAAACATGCAAAGTTGTAGTAATGACACCACCACTCACCCCATTCAGACCAATATCAAGCAGGGCTGCATCATAGTCCCAACACAGTTCTCGATCTACCTCACTGCAATGCTTCACCTCTGCCAATAAGCTCCCTGCTGGAGTGGAGCTAACTTATAGAACCAGCAGGAAATGATTCAACCTCCATCACTTTCAAGCCAAAACTACCCAAGCATTGTCATCAAGCTGCAGCATGCGAACGATGCTTGAGAATGTGCAATCTCAGAGGACGTACTCCAGGCCATCGTTACCACCTTTACCGATACAGATCAAAACCAGAAATGACAGTACTCACCATAACAGACCGGACAGTATAAATTCCAAGTGGAGTAGAATAACAGCGCTTCATCGGAGGCTCCACTAATGATGTCACCTAGCACGGTGACGAAACATCTGAACAAAAACAAGCCAGTTCGGCAAGCCAACAAGTCAACAACTCAAACCTTTACCAAGGCATATGAGAACATGGGTCTCATCCTGAATATCCACCAAACTGGCCTGGTATTGTGGAACAAATGCCCAATCTTCATGGTCCTCAGGGAGGCCTTACAGGAAAGTTGACTACTTCCAATACTTCAGGAGTGCCCTGTCGGCCAAAGCAATTATTTATGAAGAGATCCAGCACCACCTGGATCTTCCGCCTTCAGCTGCCTGAGGAAAAGGGTGTTCAAGAACAACATCAGATCTGACACCACTTTCGTGATCTACAGAGCCAAGGTGGTTTCCACCCTCCTATACGGCTCTGAGATGTGGGTTGTTTACAGCAGACACCTTAAGGTGCTGGAGTAGTACCACCAACACTGCCTGTGCAAGATCCTGTGCAGCCACTGGGAAGAAAGACACACCAACACCAGCATCCTGGTACAGGCCAATATCGAGGCACTGACCACACTTGATCGGCTGCAATGGGCTGGGCACGTCATCTGCATGACTGACACGAGACTCCCCAAGCAGGTGCTCTACTCTCAGCTCTGAAACAGCAGGCGAGCCTCAGGTGGACAGAGGAAGCGATTCGGTGATACCCTCAAGGCCTCAGTGGCAAAGTGCAGCGTTCCTACATACTTCTGAGAATCACTGGCCCAAGATAGTCTAAAGTGGAAGACGAGCATCTGGAACCTTGAGACATACTGTCAGAAAAAAGCGAAGCCAGGCAAAAACAGCATAAGGAGCGTGCTGCCACACCAATGCCCCACCCACCCCTTCCTGCAACCACCTTCTGCTGCAAGTGTTACAGAGCCTGCAGAAGTTGCATTGGTCTGCACAGCCACCTATGGACTCGCCCTGAGATTTGAAGAGAATCATCCTCATCTGTGAGGGACCTCCAATGAATGAATAAATGGTGGGGCTTGAGAATGGGAGGATCAGGGGGCATAAGGCTCCTGGAAAGCACATCCTGTGGATATGAAGCTGGTACTCAGGCAGGTTTCTTGTTGTCCTAGGCTGCATTTCCTGCTAGTTTGGTGATCCTGGTCTCCTCCCATAGCCCTTCATCCCTTTAGCCACAAGAGTATATCTGCCTCCTTTTGAAAACATAATGTTCTGACCTAAACCACTTTCTGTGGAAGTGAATCCACAGGCTCACCACTCTCTGGATGAAAAAAAAATTCTCATCACTATTATTAAAATGTGACCCCTGGTTGTGGACTGTCTCACCACCAGGAACATCCATCTTGCATCTAACCTGTCTAACCCTGTTAGAAACCAATAAAATTCTATGAGACACCCCTCATTCTTCTAAACACCAGTGTTTACAGTTGTAACCAACTCAATTTCTCCTCATACGTTAATCCTGCCATTCCAGGAATCAATTTGGTAAATCTTCACCGTGCTCTCTCTGCACTAAGCACATTCATCCGCAGATGAGGAGACCAAAACTGCACACAATAGTCCAGATGTGGCCTTACCAATGCTCTGTATAAATTGCAGTCGGACATCCTTGTTCCTGTACTCAAATCCTCTATGAAACAGCCAACTGCACCCCCATGCTTACTTTCAGTGACTGGTACAAGACGATGCTGATGTCTCGTTGAACATTTTCCTCTCTCAATATACCGTCATTCAAATAATAATTTTTGCTACCAAAGTGGATAACCTATCATTTATCCACATCGTCCGACATTTACCCACTTAGTCAGGTTGTCCAAAACACATTTCAACATCTCTGCATCCTTTGTGTCATCTTAAAATTTTGAGATATTATATTTAGTTCCCAAATCTAAATTATTAACATATTATGAACAGCTGGGGTCCCAATTACTGCAGTACCCCTCTAGTTACTGCATGCCATTCAGAAAAAGACCCTTTATTCCTTGTGAGATAGCAAGAACTGCACTTGCTGGAGTCAGATATAACACAGTATGGAGCTGGAAAAACCTGACCCAAAACATCAACTTTCCTGCTCCCCTGATGCTGCCTGGCCTGCTGTGTTCTTCCAGCTCCATACTGTGTTATCTTTTATTCCTTGTTTCCCGTCTGCTAACGAATTTTCTGTCCGTCTCAATACTAGCTCCAATTGCATGCATTTTAATCTTGCATATTAATCTGTTGTGTGAGATTTTGCCTAAAACCTTCTGAAATCCACTGGCTCCCTCTGATCAATTCTGCTCGTTACATCCTCCAAGAATTCCAGAAGATTTGTCAAGCATGATTTCCCTTTTGTAAATCAGACTGTTTGTCTGATTCTACCACCGTTTTCTTAGTGCACTTCTATAATATTCTTGATAATGAACTGTAGCATCTTGCTCACTACCGACGTCAGACTGACTGGTCTATAATAGTTTTCTCTTTACCCTACTCTTTATAGTGGGGCTGCATTAGCTATACTCTATCTGTAAGAACTGTTCCAGAGTCTAAAGAATCTTGGAAGTTGATCACCAATGCATCCACTATTTCTCGAGCCACCGTCTGGAGTACTGTGGAACATAGTTCAACAGGCCCTGGGGATTTATCAACCTTCAATCTCTCAAAAACAGTTTCTGGACTAAACAGATTTCCTTCAGTTCCTCCCTGTCCCTAAACTTCATGTTCTCCATCATTCGATGTTAATCATGTCTTCCTTTGTGAAGATAGATGTTTGAGTTTTGTTCATCAGCCATTTCTTCTTTTCCCCCCATTATAAATTCCCCTGTTCCTGACTAAGGGATTTACATGAGTTTTCACCAATCTTTTTCTCTTTACATACCTATGGAAACTTTTAGTCAGTTCTTAACAGTCCCTGCAAGCTTGCACTCATACTGTACTTTCTCCTTCTTAATCAATATCTTGGTCCTCCTTTACTGACTTCCAAACTGTTCCCAATCCTCAAGTCTGTTTTTTTTTTCTTGTCAATTGGTATGTCTCTATTTTGCATCTGACAGCATCTGTAACTTCCCTCACAAGCCATGGTTTAGCTACTGTTCCTTTTGCACTCTTGACCCAGAAAGGAACAGACAATTTCTGTACTTCAATAAAAAAATGTTTTCTGTTAGACAGTCTCTGATGTTGAATCTGCAGAAAAACATGTCTCTTTCAATTTCTCCTTAACGTGGTGTTTAAACTATGCAATTATTTTAAATACGTATACTTCAATATTGGTTTAAATCTGTTTCCATAACCTTGTCTGCTTGCATTCAGGAATTATTTCAATTTATTTTAAATTACTGTAAAACTTACTTGTCTGTTTATTTACCAGTCTTTGTTAATGCTGCATCATTGTTGAACTGCATCAAATCCTCCTAAAGCTGAAATTTCTATTTACTGGCTGTTTTGTCATAATTTATTGATTCCAGCCTAGTCTTTTATCTTAGAAACATTTGTGTTTTTCAAAAAAAAAACTAAAAGAACTGCAGATGGTGTAAATCAGGAACAAAACAGAAGTTGCTGATCTGGCAGCATGTGTGAAGGAAAAAAAAAGTCAAAGTTAACGCTTCGGCTCCAGTGACCCTCAGAACTGAGGTGTTTTTCCAAGTTGTTTATACAACTTTCAAATTATATACTGTCAGGTCATTTTAATAAATCTTCTTAAAATCTTGTAAATATTACAAAGCTTGTTACTTCTGATAAATACTTATTTTGCAGTAGGTGGAATCTTCCTGGTTTTACAACTCAAAGTGGCAGTTCCCACTTATTTTTGCTACTTGGGAAGATTCCACTCTTATTGTGATCGTTTGCACCTGTCCCCACTTTTCACTTAAGTTCACTTTGTTCAGGAGGAACAAGCCAGAGACTTGAGGGTTCTGACTTACTGAGCTGAATAGTTCACAGGAAATGATAGAGAAGTTAAAA